TAGCTAACATTTGCTCTTTATAAGTGTAAGGACCCGGGTTCAAATCAAGTGTCCATTTCCAAAACTTGACCTTCCACTTAGGCAATATCCACTCACATAACAAACCACTTGGATATAAAAAGATTTGAGTGACAGCGACAGCAAGGGTAATAGCCGGTTGCCTTTCGTTAAAGAATTGATTAATAACAGCACTAATTGCAGTCCAGATAATACCAATAAGGTAAACTCTAAAAGTCTCCACGGGGATGGTTGGGTCATCAAATGGAAGTGTTATAGCTCTAATTTCTGGATATGGTGACCAATAAGCAACCAACACGGCTTCCAATCTCACTTGTAAACTCCAATCAACAACCTCCGGTTTACCAGTTGAAGGATCATTTGAAACCAATTCATTTGCTTCTATTGCAGACGTATAATCGGGAGGTTGACTCTTTTTGTTGTCATCTTGGAATGATTCTGATTCTTTTTCTTCTTGCAAATGCGGATGCAAAACTGGGGGAGTATAATCCACCAACTCCTTCCATAACTCCAAATCGTGTTCTTGAATATTAACATCGTGCTCGTGTTCTTGAATTGCTTCTTTCAAAATCTCAACAGCTTCTTGAGTCGACGTTTGCTCAATCTTTTCAAATATAAATGTACACTCAGGAGGCAAGTCTTCAAAGCTGGTCAATGCATCAAAATGCAATCTTTTCATGACATAATCCTTCTGAGCGTCAGTTAAGGTGGTACCAACTTCTCCTATAGACAAAGGGTTTGACAAAATTGCATCTAAATTAACCTCATGATCTTGTGTTTGCAAGTGACTTCCAGCACTATCAACTGACGTGATATGGTCTTCACCTACTGAGACGGTTGAAATTTTCTCAGTACTCATATTGATATGAAATGCTTAATCAGGTAGAGTCAGAGCTTAAACAGGGAGTTAAGAAAATGCGGAGAGAAATGGTACACTTATATATATATACTTATGCACAGGCTTTCACGAATTGAACAGGATTAATTCTCCTCATCCAACAATTGGTATTATAGTATTTGTGCTGTTTCAAACACTGACCCCACATCGTATAAAGAACTTCCACCTGCAAGCTGTTCGAGAAAGAGATGCATATCATGCACGGCACCAAAGAGCACAAAACAGGGTCTTCTTCAGGGTTTAAAGGGGGGGGGTGATTTTTGAATAGTGGCATTATTTCAGCATTAAGTAAATTTTTGGTGTTGATTAGCTACTGTTAGGTGTCGTTTAGATTATACATTTTTTGGTTGAACCTGTTGTTTGTTTTCTGCAGATACTATTTATAAATCCGAGTTAGACAAAACATAAATTTAGTACAAATTTGTAGAATGTGGAAACATTCGAGTTTAAGCGCTGAAGTGAAAATGTCAGGAGCAAATGCATTGGAGAGTTAATTCAATTTTCCAAGCGCCAGTGGGGTTCAAAGTGAACTCTCAAGAACAATAATAGACAATTCTTCTCTACAACTGATTAGATTTATAAGTCTACAGTCAAAGTTTGAAAGGAAATTCCTACTAAGAAGAAGGAGTGCTTTTTCTCAAACTTCTGAGGGAACTAGCTTACGTTGTTGATTAGAACAAAGAGGGCGGGACTTGCCGTAAGGAATACAAATTAATAGGAAAGATAGAGGAGGTGGAAACCCAAGTTAATGCAAAGCAGGTAAAACCTAATTATTAAAAATCTCACTTTCGAAAAGTTGTAACTTTTTAGTAGGACCAAAGAACCAATGAACATATGGTTGATTTTCTCTTTTGTCGTCTGCATTTAGTGTTTTTTTGTGTCAAAATAAATTTTCATCAAAGCTTATAATTTCTTTTGGTTGCATGAGGATAGGGAAATGGAGATTTAAAAAAAATATCACATTGATGCCATCAAGAGTGTCAAAAATGTGTCTCCTTTGCATGTCCTCGTCTCCTTTAGAGATTAAATAGTGGGGTCCACTAAAGATGAACGGATTCGATTATAAAATGTATTTTTATACGGTAATCGTGATAAGCAGATATACCACCATAAGTTGAATATCCGCCACTTTTATAGTGACTGATTTCCTTTTCTTCTAACCCCATTGGATGATAAAAATAACTAAATAATTCTATTGTTATACATTATGCACTTGCATCGGCATAAAATTTCTAGTAACGATGCATGCATTTTGTCTCCAATTTCCAACCCATATTCTAACTCTTGTCAGTCAAAGAAAGAGTACATTTAGAAAATATAGTTCTCTGATTTAAAGTTTTCAACCCCACATATTAACCCTGTGCCGTATAAGCAGGATAAAATTCGTTGGCTAGATGCTTTCAATGGAAGAATCCAGCTGTAAAAGAAAAAGAAACTACCCTCACGTAAACGTATCAAGTAAGAACCTAAGAAGGGAGTATCGGACCGTACCAAACTTTATTATGCTTTGTGGGGGGGGGGGGGATGTGTAATTCTGGGCGCGTTCCATCCCCCATTTTATTTGGTCACATAGAATTAAAGTTGACATATTAGAAACAAAACCTGTTAAATAAACAATATCAGGTTATTTTAAAACTAAAGGTTAATTAATATTCATTCTCTTGTTAAAATAGGAAACTGTAAAACCTTGAATGGCTTTTTTTTGATTTCCTGGTGGTGACGTACCCAATCAGCATACAAAGCAGTTCTGGCTGGGAAAACAATTCTTCCCAAGCCGCCATTGTGACACAACTCATTAAATATTAATCTCGGTTCAGGCTTTGTGTCAATCCCGGAACCGCGATTATTTTGTCCCAAAAAAATAATCTGTCACTGCTCGCCAAAATAATTAACCGCGAATTCCAAAACTGGATTTTTGTGTGCTCTGGAGAAATATTCTAGAGATTGTAGTACATGAGACCATGCATTGCACGGCATTTAAGGTTTCTGTCTATGTCTCTCTTTTAAAATCGTGCTGCAGATATCGGGCCGTAAGAAGAGGACGCATGACAAGTTTTTTTTTTCAAGTTTAAGTCGCAAATTAGAAAAGGAACTGCTAAATTATAAGAGCGAAATGGCTCCCTTGGAGCTGCATGATTATACAAAATATTACTAATTGCAGCAGCATGTTTTGTTTAGAGTCTTTGGTAGGCTAACATATTCACAGATTCAGTAGTCTTTCATTTTTTTTTAACCTTTTAAATAGAAAATTTAACCAAATTCTATAAAACTTTTTATGTTCTACATTTAGGTTCCTATAAGTTGCAAAATAGAACAGTCTCTACTATATGGCATGCCCTAAGCTTAACAGTAATAGTTGCGTTGGCCAATACCCAGTTTTGATTTGATATTACCAAAAGGAGAATTAGTCACGTGGATATGTACTGTGTGTTATCTTGTTGTCCATTTGTTACACTTTACAATTTGTTTTGAAAAAGCCGCACCATTTTGAAAGCCAATAAGCAGAAAGCCATTGTTTAGAATAAGAAATTTTTAAGCCTATGCAACAAGATCAATTATTTCACTAGGTTGAAAACTATTAAGTTCAGTTTAATGGTATTCCCCCTCTGTATCAGACTGTTCCTTATACCTCTTTATATGCGACTCAAATATCAAAATATGTTTTACGTGTTAAATTGTCAAGACATTATTATTTTGTTTTGTTATTGTCATGTAAATTTTCATTTCCTCGTTTAATAATTAGTCGCAAAACCAAGTTTTATGACAAAGAATTGGTGCATGATGAAGGGTTATGCTAAATGCTACATCAAAGAACAATAAATTAATACAGCTAATCTACGTATATGTAACCTCAGTATTGAAAATCAAAAGCATTTTTAATATTGAGCTGATATATTACCTGTTGTGAATGTTCCTTTATTGTGCAACAGAATATCTTCAAATGACCTAGACTCCAAAATTGTTCCACTTGTAAGGCAACACCAAACAAGTCAACAATGAACTTGTTCTATATTTACTCAACAGTCGTGGCTTTCTCTCTAGATCGTCATCTCAACTCTGTATTCTAGCCCTCAGACTCAAACCCTTCAACTTACTCTCTTCTTAAAAACACTTATCTATCTTTTACCAACTTTACGTTCTAGAACAGCATCGGTATATATTCTTGTATCCCATTACATTACTGATTACCGGACTATGGTCTTCACAATCCGCCTTAGATAAAAAACTAAGGAAGGCTTTTACACTTACAAAAAATACGACACATACTGCATACAACACCATACAAAACAAAAACAAACCAAAACAAAACAACCATAAAAAAACGTTAAAACAAAAAAAAAGAAAGAAAAAAAAAACTATATACCAAAAGTGTCAACTATAAGAAACCATACTTTATCAAACACAATCACTCTAGTTAAAACGCATACCATACATCTTCATCAGAACCACCCACAATAATTACATACCACCCCCTTATATAACCCACCAATCAATAGACCCCAAAATTACAGTGATTCGATATATTACTTTATTTTCACAGTAAAGTGTTCCTACTGTGCTATCACAACAAAATCGAACCCCTCATAAAACTTATCCAACTTTTCGTCATTCTTTAATTATATTCCAATCTTTTTGGTACTTTCCCCTTTTTAAGAGCTTTTTTTTGCTTGTCTAAGGTATAAAAACGTCCAGATTCTCCTTTTCCATTCGAAACAATACCTACTTATCTACAGAAACCAACAAACATACCATTTTTGCCCATGAATAGAGCCCCCGACGACTACACTCTGTTCAAACTGGGTGAAAACAACACATCCAACGAGAGGCCTCGCGAATTGGCATCGCCCGTGCAAGCAGTAACCAGGAATGATGATTTGCAAAATTACTACTATATGCGTCACCCACAAACTTATCCTATTCCAAACACTGCACCACCATCAGATCGAAGATTGGGATCAAGTAAACATTCTCGATCACATTCTCATAATGCTGATCAAAAGCAACCCAAGCATCGTTTATTTCATCCGGTTAATCATAACGCGTATCAACAATACCCTTCATATCCTATGAATGTGTCGTCACCTAAACCTTCATCAGCTCCACCGCTATCTCCCCAATCCAGGCGTCAAAATGCCAGCACGAGTAAGAATCCCTGGCATGCTGAACATGTGAGTAGACCGAGTGACGCACAGCCAAATTGGACAAAATTAATTCCGCCATTGTCCGATACTCCAAGGGAGCTGGCTCCAACATTTGCGACTCAACATACACAACTGACTCAACCGGTTTCAAATGATATTCTTCCAAGTAACGGTCACCTCACTCCAGAAAATCAACGGCAAAAGTCACGTAGCTCATCCCACAGATCAAATCTCGATCCATCGCAAAGACACTCCATTGCAATTTCTCCAACACCCGAGAAACAAAGTGAAGAGGGGAGAAGACGAAATGATGACCCGTTAGCTGCACCTAAGCCACAACAGACTATATCAAGCAGACCAAAAACAAAGAAAAAGAGCCGAAAAGTATGCCAGAAATGTGGACTTGAGATTACTGGCCAGTTTGTACGTGCTCTTCAAAGTGCTTATCATGTCGAGTGTTTTACATGTCATGAATGTGGTAAACAATGTTCAGCTAAATTTTTCCCTTACGATATCAACCAAGATGGCAAAACAACACAAGTTGCACTTTGTGAGTATGATTACTTTAAAAAGCTAGATTTAATTTGCTTTAGTTGTGATAGTGCATTGCGAGGGCCTTATATTACTGCATTGGGCAACAAGTACCATTTGGAACATTTTAAATGTTCAGTTTGCCAACACGTGTTTGATTCGGACGAAAGTTATTTTGAGCACGAAAATGATATATTTTGTCATTTCCACTATTCAAAGTTGTATGCATCGCATTGTGAAGGATGCCAGTCATCTATTTTAAAACAATTTGTGGAATTGTATCGAGGTGGGAGGACCCAGCATTGGCACCCAGAATGCTTTATGGTTCACAAGTTCTGGAATGTCTGTATAACTGCAGACTCTGTTGGATTACAGAGAACGTATGGTTTGGCAGACGAAAAATTGGCAGACTTGAGGGCAATTAAAATGGCGGATACAAGTCTTAACTCGGAAAGGTTAGTGGATATCGAGCAGCATATTGAACAGGTGGTGATGAATTGCTGGTTAATGTTGTCTGGGTACGAACAGAGCACTGCAGCATGTATCTCTGACATGCTTCTTAATGCCTGCACAGGAAACAAATATAACGGGTTGGTAGTCACCGGGAAGTTGATATTGAATGTTGAAATTTTATTCCATGCGTTGGACTACGTGTTACTGGCATGCAAGGTTGCGTCGGCCACACTAGTGGTTAAATATGAACAACCTGAGCAAGAAAACCTGGATTCGTCAGTATCTGAAAACGAATATTTCCAATTTTTGAAAAAGGAACCAAGAAATATTACTGGAAAGATTATGAGCTATCTAGCTATATTGCGAAAATCAGCTAGCATATCCAAATCGGGTACCTTGTCAGCAGAATTGTTGTCAGTCATCACTGGATCTGCTCATTATTTGAAATTATTGATACGAATTGGATTATATAATGCGTTAAAATTGAACAAGTTGAATGGGACTACAGAAACATTAGATCACTTTTTACACTTGGTGTCGAGATACGAGACGATTGAATCAAACAAGCTTGAAACTGTGGAGGGTTTAGAAGAGTTTAAAGCAAAGTTGACGGTCCCGCAAAGCTCCACCGATGCTTGCACATCTTGCTCTAAAAGTATTGAGAAATCGTGTGTCAAACTCGGCGATCACAGGTGGCATTGGAAATGCTTTACGTGTGCCAAGTGCCAGCAACGCATTGATCAAGCTGATGTACAGCAAACTCGTTTTGACATTGCACGTCAGTGCATAATCTGTTCACAATGCTATGATGGCAGTGGGGTGACGGGATTCGAAATCATATCTGATTTGTCACAGTTGGTGTACCTTTTAAAAATCGCCTTGTTGCGATCAAGGTCTGTTATGAATATCGATTTCGTAAACCCCGCAATAACGGCGTCGCCAGAGACGGAACTATTGCAGACACCAGATAGGCAATATGAACAAGATGATTATAGCAAAACATTGGACGATGTAACGAGGCTAAGAAGTAAAAGACAAAATCAGAAATTGTCGCAATCGGTGAAAAAGAAAGCGAGAAAGTCGGTAATTATAACAGCACCAGAGGGTGACCAAGCTCATCAGGATGAGGTTGACACATCTAAAGTTGGAGATGGCAGTCTTGCAACAAACATGGGAGATTTGGTACTTCAAACACAACCACCTCAATTTGGAAGAAAGGCCAGTAGCGGATCACAACTCTCCTTTGAAGGCAGAGAAGAATTATCTGTCAGGAAACAGTTACAGATTAGAGATGAACCCCAACGGCAATTGACAGCCACGCATCTTGATCGTACATCTGACTTGTTAAAGAATGAAAAATCATTAACTTTGGATGATATTCCTCGGATTGTCGCTGCTGAACAAGCTCGTGACCAAAGACCCAATGCATTCAAACACCAGAACAAGCTATATCAAAGAACGGGGTCTCATAAACTAAAGGGCAGTGGACACAGTCCCATTCAAACGACGCCAAGTAGTGCGTTGGACCATATTTTGAATACCACAACTCCGGCAAATGACTCTCCAACCTTTGAGAAACAAAAGTTTTATTCAGAATTGACTAAACGTGAACATTTCATCATGAGACATATTGCAGTTGAAATGCTATGTCAAATGAATCATGAGAAATATAACAAGGATGAGTTGTTGTCGATGATTCAGTTGAAGAAACCGCCGACATTTTGGGACAAGTTGAGATTTGGCAGTGGCGGTGCTTCAAAAGATAAAAACAATGCAGTGTTTGGATCGGAATTGAGTATTTTGACCAAGAAGTATGGTGTTGATTCCGATCTTGGTGTCGGGCCCTCTAAATTGAGAATTCCCATCGTTGTTGATGATGTCATAAGTGCCTTGAAACAAAAGGATATGTCAGTTGAGGGTATTTTCAGATTGAATGGTAACATCAAGAAGCTTCGAGAATTGACAGAACAAATCAACAAAAGCCCATACAAATCACCCGATTTCAGTGCTCACACTGCCGTTCAATTGGCAGCGTTGATGAAGAAATGGTTACGTGAGTTGCCCACGCCATTATTAACTTTCAGTTGCTATGATTTATGGATTTCATCTCAAACGGGACAAACACCGGAACAGAAGAAGAAAATTTTACAGCTAACCTACTGTTTATTACCGCGTGATCATCGAAATCTTCTTGAAGTATTGCTATATTTTTTCAGCTGGGTGGCTTCATTTTCTGAGGTTGACAAAGATACTGGGTCCAAAATGGATGCTCATAATCTAGCCACGGTTTTAGCACCAAATATTCTAATATCAAAACAGACACAGGGACAAAATGAGCAAACTGGCGATGCCTATTTTTTGGCTATTGAAGTTGTAAATCAATTGATTGAACAACATGAAGAGTTGAGTATTATACCACTGGAATTGATGAAGATATTCAATGCATGTGGATTTGATGGAGTGGAGAAAGATCTATCTTCCAAAGATATCTTGAACCAAATTGAAAGAGTGTTGAAAGAAGATGCAAAGTGATTGTTGTATATGATGTAATAGTAGATAATTGTCGCAAAAGCTCAATGTCGTATGTTTTATTTTTTTCTTTTCATTTTTTTTTATGATCTTGTGCGTTTCGATGTCAACATAATCTTTTTTATCTGAACCGTCATTAGCTACAGCTTTTTTCCCAGTAAAACACACCTATCCCCACATCAATATCTCCCTCATCATGTCTGCTCTCAATTCAGACTCCCTAAAGCAAATAATCCAACAACGCCTAAATGCGGAACTAGTTCAAGTCGAAGATATGTCAGGTGGATGTGGACAAGCATTTGCGGTTGTTATTGTATCATCGCTTTTTCAAGGTAAGAATAAGTTGGCAAGGCATAGGTTGGTAAATAGCCAGCTACGAGATGAAATCGCTTCCATTCACGCTTTTACACAGAAAGGGTACACACCTAGTGAATGGGTAGAACTTGGTGGGAAGATATAGAGAAACTGAATGGAAAGAGTTGGAGAGCATTAGGTCACGCATGTTGGAAGTTAGAATAGAGATCTGTATTGGTAATGAAACAAAAAATTTTCTTTTAGCTAATGTATAAACTCTAGGCATTCACATTATGAACAGAGATAGGAGGTGGATAAATCAAAACTCCATTGGTTATAGCCCACGCGCAATATGCTGCAAATAACATTACTTATTTGCCCACCCCTTGTTTCCTATTGCATTACCCGCATACAATAACTCGTCACAAAATACCCAGCTAATACATTCTATATCAAGTTCCTCTTGTACATTCTAGAGTACCTCTTGATAATTACCAACCACAGGACTAAAAGCACCGCAAACATAATAATCACCATTACTGGAAACGCTTTCAATCCGCCTTCACTTGAGTCGGCCACCAACCCAACCAAGAATGGAATTCCAGCAGCTCCACCACCTCCAAATGCACAAATAAAGCCAATGCCCACTGTTTGATATTTTGCTGGTAAAACATTGACCAGAGTAACAATGGTGGTTGGGAAAATAGGTCCCACCATAGCTCCGGTAACAAAGACAATGACGAATAGTAGAACCACTTGTTGTGTATATGACACGAGCCAAAAGAGTACGTACCCCAATAGCGAGCCCAATATGTATGAGAAGTTAGCCGACAACTCAGAACTGAAATAGTGCACAGTTACAAATCCAAGTGTACACCTTCCAACAGTGAGTCCCAACCAAAACGTAGTGGCAATGTGTGACGATGCTTTATATGCCCAGTTTTTTATTCTCAATAGATATGTCACCAACCAAGCACCAAATGCAACCTCGCCACCAACGTATATGAAAAGGATTCCGGCAAATGCCCAAATTAGCGGCAGTTTTACTGCTTGTGTAAATGTAGCCGAATGCTCTTCCTCCTCTTTATTCTCCTCCTCGATTTCAAAATTCGTCTTGTTCATGTCATTAAGCTCGACTTCATTAGGGTCACCAGCATTCTCCTGTGGCGTCGCTGATTTTGATTTTTGGTGTCTCAATTGTGCCATGTACTTGTACTTTTTTGGTGTTTCATATCTAAACGTATACCCAACTAATACGAGCACCGTTGCTCCATAAGAAGCTACTAAAAGATAATAAGTGTTCCAATTCCATGCATTGTTTGCTTTTTCCAAAAGATACGTAATCAAACTAGGTGTTATTAAACTTCCAATACCGTAACAACCATGCAAGATCCCCAACAATTGGTTCGAATCAACTAAATTTCCCATCCATGCATTTAATGAAGCATCCAAAGCACCGAGGCCCACACCATTCAAGAAGTAGCAAATGAGAAAGACAAAAAAAGGTGGCTTAAATGATACACTCAAGTTTCCCAATGTCATGGCTGAAGCTCCCATAATTGCAACTCCTCTAATCCCTAGCTTGTCATGGGTCATGTTGTTGACCAATGCCATAGTCAAGTACCCCAAAACGGAGCAAAAGAATATTAAACTCACATACAAGTCGTTTAAATGATAGTACTCTTGTAATTTCGGAATCAATGTACCAACTGTCTGCTCTCCCAACCCAAATAAGATGAAAACTAGGTATGCAGTTATTATTTGAACTTGTAGTAATCTTGAATGCCTCCAGTTATTTGTATCGATCGTGAGAATCTCGCCTTCGAACTCCACTTTCTGCAACGATGTAAAGCTTGAAGGGTCAGTAACCTCATTGTTATCGATTGATTCGTTGTTAAGCTGTGAATAATGTGAATTTGGATCCAGTGACATAAAAGGAGTACTCAATCTAGACTTTAGATTATCTTCAAACAGACGTAATGAATGCAGTCGTGTTGCTTTGACTTATTGCTTATTAAAGTTGCAATCGTTTTTCGCTTTTTTTTTTTTCATGTTTTTGCTTTCGGAAAATCTCTCGCGAATTCCGCTTCGGTATGTTTATGCGAGATTCTTTCGAATGAAGGTGGAGAAGATTAGCACAATTTTAGCTGTTGCCACCGGCCACCAAAAGCTTTTTCAATCGAATAGTTTTTCTACTAATCTTGGACTGATTTTTGAAGACCTTTCCTTAATCAATGACATGGTTACTGTAGTTTTCGAAAACTAATTAGTTGTTCAGCACCGAATTCAGGTACTTCTAGAACGAACAGAACATTATGTGTGAGGTCCACAATGGATGCCAAGTTTGTTTTGCAAATTTTTTTTTATGCGGTTATTTTCTGGCTTTGAGAGGTATTTCCATATCATATGTTTGTGCATCAACATTGGCCACTCCTATAGTAGACAAACAGTTTCACCAACTCTCAGATACTCCATGCTTGTCCCGTGTAATTCAAAACGGAAATCTCTGCCGTTGTTTTGCAGAAAATGAACATCGCATATTCTATTTAGCGTGAAAATATCTCGGATAAAAATCGATCCGGATCGGGAATATTTTATCTTTCTGGCAAAGCATACTTGTGCTTTTCAAAAGTATAAGTACTTCAAGTTGATCCAGGAATTCAACAAAAGTGTTCAAAATGAGCCACGCCGGTACCACCTTATGGATTTACGAGATACTAATCTATTCAAGCCAATAGTCATTGGAAACAATGTACAATTGAATCACAGAATCGTACACTTACCAACATCAAGATCTAGGTCTACTGATGACGGAGAAAACTTTCCTACCGACTTGATGGTACAATATTATGATTCAAGGAGTAAAGCAGAAGGGTCGTTAATTATCTTTGAATCGTCCTTAGTTTCACCTAGAAGCGGGTTAATGCCATACAAATCTGGAGTGTGGAGTACCGATCAATGCAAAGCATTAAAACAAATAACTGATGCCATTCATGCTAATGGCTCCTTTGTATCGTGCCAGGTTTTTGCGCCCGGAAGAACTTCCAATATAAGCTTGTTGAAAAGGAAAAACCTACCTTTTCTCGCCCCTTCGTCTATATATCACTCAGAAGATCTGGAGAAAGCGGCCAGGGACTTGAAACATTCGTTGCAAGAGTTGACAATAGACCAGATATATGCCATCCAGCAAGATTTCGTAACAGCTGCAGCAAACTGCTTGACAGTGGCCGGATTTGATTTTGTTGAGCTCCATGGTACTTCGGGATTTTTAGTGGAGCAGTTTCTTTCCCCTGTTTCCAACACCAGAAGCGACGAGTACGGTGGAACAGTTGAGAATAGATGCAGGTTTTTGAAAGAGATCATTGATATGTTAATTGCTCACCCCAGTATTGGAAGTAACAAAATTGGAATTAGACTTAGTGCTTGGTCAACACATTTTGGGATGAAGTATCCAGCTGATGAGTACTCCATGGATGAAACGTTTCCACCGTTGGTGTATTGCGAGCACCTACTTTCCTTTTTAGAAGATCATAAGCAGACTGGAAATGAACTTGCTTATGTTTCAATTATAGAACCGCGTGTCTCTGGATCACTTGACCAAAATCCATTGGGTCGTACAAATTCGTCTCTACTACTGAAATGGTCTGGTATAGTCGTTAGAGCTGGGGGGTATGCGACAAACTACAAGGGTGATCCAAGTTGTATTGCATCAAATAATTCAAATTTGAAGGTTCGCCATGGCCAAATCCACCATTATTCATCTTTGATTAACGATGTCAGTTTAGATGATCGCACGTTGATTGGATTTTCAAGACCATTTACATCCAATCCCGACCTTGTTGAGAGACTCAGAAATGACAAGAAGTTGGATTTGTATCACAGGGAGTATTTTTACACTCATCAATTAGAGGGGTACTTGACCTTTGGAGAATATGTTGATGACGAACTATACTCAAACACTTTGAAACTTCCGTACAAAGAATTGCAAAGGCGTGCTGAATCATTGGCTTCGAATGGAAACTTGCATGGGGCGCAATGTAAAGCCGTGTGACATGGGTTTTTTTCGACACCAGACAACTTTCTGTGTATATGAAGGATTTTTGACTTGGATAAGTAAACTGAATAGAATAACCTAAGACGCTATGCGTTATAACTTTGTAGCTGTTCACGTGACTTCCTTTATTGGCTGCGCGTTCTTTTGTTTACGCGACAGTAACAAATTTTATTAAACCAAATACAACTCTACTAAACGCCCTAGTTGCTTCACCATTTACAATATTGATCCAAATCCTCAAAAACACCACCTTTGCAATTCATGTATAGCATAACAAGAAAGAAAAACGCCAAAATACGAAACACAAGCCAACAGTGATAGTGATATCGTATTAAAAAACAATGAGTGACATCTCTGATTCAGACGCCGAAGATAGGGCGCTTGATGTGTCTCTAATATCGAAGCAAACACTTCAGAGGAAACTATCACACCTACCGAATGGAAAGCGACAAGAATTGGAATATATTTGGGGGAACCTTAATTCCTCAAGTTCACTTCATGCACTAGCAGAAGAAGAAGAATTTGTCGAGGATAGCGATAATGACGCCAGCATGGAGGTCGAGCACACACTCAGCGTGCCCGAACCTGTACCTTTGCAAGAGGCTCCCCTAAATTTAGAGAACAAAGAGAATGAGGGGCATTTACAAGCTTACATAAACTCGAAGTATCTGGCATTTGTGTCCGAAAGAAGCTTGAGAAAGCGCAATTTCGCCAGCACCCACCCTTACTTGGCAGACCAAGCGTCCTATTTGGGTCTTTCTGACGCTCATGAGCTAAACACAGTGTATGAACAAAACGATCAGAATCTAGAAGCTATTGTCAAGCTTTTAAACTATAATTATGTGAAGTTGAAGAATAGATACCCCAAGGATGAGAAATACAAGTCAAAGAGCTTTTACGCCATAATAGGACAACAATCGAAGGTTGCGCAACAAGAAGAGCAGGATAAAGAGCAAGAGAATGCAAGACTGAGCATAAATAGTGACAAATATGATGTTTCGGACATTGACATGAATAGTCCCAGGTCTTCTAGCTTGGAGCAGCGACTAGAATATTCTCAACTTCTGGATGATCTGACACAAGACGTTAACAATTTTGCATCAACGGAGGAATTTGACTCCAGCAGTGATCAGGATTCGAGTGCAGACGATGAAGGTAGTAAGGAGAATCTATACGTTAGGGTTGGCGGTCGCTACAAAAAAGAAAAGAGTGCGTTGAGGGGTATATTTCCCGAGTCTGCTAAACATTTACCGATATATAAAGCCAAAACTTCTCGAGCAACCCCAAGAGTGAAGCCCCCGCGTGAATTGAGAAAGGGATTTGCCGTTAAGAAAAAAGGTAGCAAAAATCGATTGTTCCGTTCCAACAATGATCTCGAAGGGACATTCTTGAATGATGAAGTGGTTGAATATGTGTCACCGGACAATTATCTTTTGAACAATTTAAAAATGTCGGATAAGGAGGATAGTTTGCTTCTTTCTCGTTACCATGAACCTATTCTTTCTGAAGCGTCAGAGTTGTCAGGTTCTGAAACAGAGTCTGATAGCGGCCTGGATTTGTTCCTGTATGATGAGCACCGTGGTTTTGACCAAGACTTAGACGACAATGGGGGCGAAGCTCTCGAGAATGATGCCATTGATCGTATGCTTACAACGATTTCAAGTCCAATGTCGAATGGCCTGCACTCAAAATCAAAACTGAGAAGTAAATCATCATCTACAACTAAACTGGCCAGAGATGATGTTGGAGGGAAAAACAAGAGGATGGCACAACACAAGTTTCCATCAGGAAAGCCTCGAGTATGTTCTATTGCACAAAGATCGGGATTAACCTCGCATCTGGGAGGGCAACATGAACGATATCAAAGAACTACTCATCCAAACTACAGAAGTATTGATTCTTTCACAACCTCAAGCGACCATGTATTTGAGAATGCAGCTGAAGCTACAAATGGTGAATTAGTCGATGTTTTGACTATTACACGTGATGGGAAACATTTTCCAACTTTACAAGGAGCAAGTTTAGCTCGCTCACGTCCTGAACATATCTCATTAACGAGATCTGACTCGAGTGGGACTAAAAAGATTCTAAAGAAGATGAAGAAGAACAAAAGTGTGCGCAACCAAGAGCTGATTGAAAATTATTTTGTACCTTTCAGACATGGAGTACGGAGTCGCCCGGATCGTGCGCCCCTTTTGGCCTCTGTTGATATTGAGGCGGAGACTAATGACCAAACGTATAGTCCTTTTCGAAAGAAACCAAGGTTTTTCAACCATCATCTAAATGGACCAATACCATTATCCCATGAACCAGTCTTTGCTCCGGGATGTTTACTAAACGATATCGAGTTGAAAAAACTTGGTAATACGGGTGATGGTAAAACTTTTCATCGCTTTCAAGACCAGATTACTGTGGCGTTCAAGGATAGACAGTTTACGATGTCTTTGTTGGACATTGATGGCTCAAGGGGGCTGGCAGATCAGTTGTGCTTGCTTTTGAACCTGGAACTTCTCCATAGCAAAGTACACAAAAAGGATTTTTACCAGTGCGTTAGAGGCTTGATCGGTTGGTCCTTGATTCTTCAACTGCCCCCTTCAGAGTCTGAGTGGAGTTGGATAGAGACGTTGATTAACACTCTTCGAGACAGCCTGATAATGACACCAAGCGACAAATTCTTTTGCCTTCCCTATTTGATTTTACTTCAATATATAATGCTCATTATGGGTAGGATAAACGGGGGTATTGGCCGAAAAAACAATGTAAGCTCTTACGCAGCTTCGTATTGGTCTTGGTTCTTTGTCATTACTGAGAATACCCGATTTGAAAATTTGGAAGTTAGCGGTGGCACTGCTACAAAACAAGCTGAGTCCTTTTACATTATGTGCAAGTTACTAGAATTACAAGGTGCTTGGTGGCCTTCGATTTGCGCATCTGTGCTGGGTTACGAAAGGGGCAATTATTACCACGTTTTGGAATGTGTTCACTATTTATGTTGTTCAACTAGAAAACGTGAAAACTGGGAACCATTGCAAGCACTTTTCCAAAAATTCAGCGACTCCACTGATCGGGAAGTTTATTACCGCTACATTGAGATCGTTTTTAGCATGAACCGCATGAGGAATTGGCAAATTGATGATAAATTAATTTTGCAAATGTATGGGAACATCACATCACGGAGGTTTGCCAATTTGCCCAAGGAAAACTTTTTACCGAGTATCTTTCCGCAAATCAGATCAAGATTTGATGTTGCAGGAGATTCTTTCTTTGAGAAGTTCTTACAGTTGTTATTCTGGCATATATCGTCGCTCACAGATGTTTCGCAAGTAAAAAGGCTCGTAACTAAATTGCTATCATTCAATCCAGTACAGTACTCAGACTCCAAAGAGCAAAAGATAATGTTCTCTAACAAATTCAACTTATTGATAATGCTAAGCCTGATATCAAAAACGGACCTAAGGACACAAGTAGAGATTTTATTATCCTCAATAAGCGAGGTGACTGAATTAAATTTTCTCAAGCAAGCAGTACGAGGTACCTGTATAATCTTTGAGGCCGCTTTATCCAAGGGAGCCAAACTTCCAGTCGAAGGAGTGGAAATTATGACTGATAAATTGGTTTCAATCGCATTTACCGTACCTGGAGCAAAGCAATTGTGGTGTAAGTTTCTGCGTTGTTTGAGGTCACTTGTTACAGAGTCACTGGGAGAGCCATTGGGTTTGGTTCAGCTCTTGCCGTTGATGAAGCAAATAAAAGTAGAGTTACCAACGAGTATCAATGTTGATGTCACAGATTTATGTGCCTACATTGTGGAACAACTCACTGCTGTGAAAACCGAGGTCAAACATGCGTCGAATATCAGAAACTTAAATGCTGCTAAAAAGAAATCATTTGACATGGCTAATTCATATATGATGAGGCAAACGAGTGACCATCCGCTATCGAAAAAAATCGATACATTGATCTCTCAATGTATTACAATCTGGGTTGTTACTTCTTATATTGTTGACGAAAATTGGGACAAATTGGTTCTACAAACATATCCATTTATGGGAAACGAACTTTCGCGAGATAGGTTCGTGTTTCATTTCTACATGGAAGTATCACGGTTTTATAATTTAACCAACTGCAAACAACCTGTTATTAGTAACATTATCCGAGGGTTGATATCCTTTGAGATGCCATCAAGACTCATTGAATTTATTAATCGATTGAGTGTTTTAGGTTGGGAGTTATTTTCATTCCATAGAATAAGAAACGTTCTGGATGCTGAGTTGATTAGCACAAAATTTGGAATTTTGTCCAGCATGCTTAATCGATCAAGCACTTGCGAGTCATCAGTTAAAACGAATGTGATAGTTTATGATATATTAAGGAGTATGAAGCGGGAGAGTAGCAGTTACAGCAATGAAACCTACAAAGACTTTTGCTCTTCTGTAATTAAAGAATTAAACAGATATGAGATTGATGCTAAGAATCAAGCTCTTGTGAGTGAGATATATTCATTGTTGGGAATTGGCACACATACAGAGCTATTTTCAAATAGACAACCCATGGAAGGATGCAGGTTTGATGATGACTTTGATCTCGATGAACAATTAGATTTTGGGTGTGCCTCCCTTTCCTTGTCATCTAGTTTAGATGACTATTTTTCCACTTTGCAGGAGTTGTTGAATGACACGTCAGATTTTGCCCCAAAGTGGAAAACGGTATATGAGATATTGTCCAATTTTGGTCTGGCTATTTTCCAACACCGATTTAAGTTTTCAAATCCACATTTCTTGGGAATATTTGAACTTTTCTTGAATGAATTAGATAGAGGTGATGGACAAGTATGCGAAGCTGATGGCTTTAGAATTCGCACGTTTATCAAAATTTGTACCATATTGGGAACTGTCCACCAAGTATTGTACGAAGGCTATCGAATATCTTCCGATTTCTTGATTATATTTAAGCTACTTGAGCAAAAACTTATCCAGGTCTTCCCCTTTGTTACTACACCGTGCTATTCTGGCCAAGTTTATGATGAGGTAGACGAGCAAAGTCTCGAACATAAACTCGCCACACAGTTTCAGCATACATTTGCTAATGATGCAACCACCACTGATGAAATATATTCAGACTACATTCTCCAATTCTAGAAATACATCTATAGCAATCGTCTATTGAAGTCCTCTTTGACTCTTGATTAATAAAGTTTCCGATTCTAATTTATCATTCGCCTTTTTAACATCCAATAAGGTCACCACTGTCCTCAAAAGTTCGTCATACTTTGCCATTGTCTTTCTTGTGGGCATAATAGGTTTAACAGCGCTTCCACCAGCAGTGGGGATATCTAGCTCTTGCATAAGAGCTGCTGCCATTTTCAAAACCGACTGCTTCTGTTGCAACCCCAGCAACCTTTGCTGCGATCGCAAAGTAACACCTGGCGTCAATTTTTCCGTACCATGATAGTGCAAACCATATGCTTCCTCTTCCTTCTGCGTAAGCCTTTTCAACAACAACTGATGTATAGCATTTGCATCCTGTTTGATTGCTGAGCTTGTGTGATAATTTTGCTTTAACAAACTCGAAAGGTATTGTTGTAGTTGAGTTTGAAAACCACGATCTCTTTTGTACGATGAAGATGCAGCCAAGGGTATTGGTGGAGGTACAGGTTCCTGTGGGACAATCTTTTGTAGCTGTTGCTTCTTTTTCTGGTGCTTATCATAAATCATGAGGTTATTGTACAAGTTGGCAATGCCTTGTGAGGACTGAAACTGGGCTACATTTTGAGTAGATTGTGGGGAATCCAAAAGCCCCAACAAATTGGACCTCTCCATGAGCATCTTCTTTGCCGCTAATTCGAACCTTCTTGCTTCAATGACTAGTGACTCTTCCTCTGCTATCTCCGCTGGGGTTCTGAGAAGCAAATTCTCGAGATATTGTTTCCTCTCAATCTCTTTCTCTTTCGAATATGACTTGAGAGAATCAATGAGGCTCTGATTTTTTATGTCCTGTCGAGAAATTATTTTCTCACAAATATTGTAAAAGTGATCTTTGAGATCTTCCGTTGTGAAACCACCTACAGGGAATCTATCCTGGATTATCGGCCATTTAAGTTCATAAGATTTGCAAAGATCGAATAATAATTTCGTCTGGTCATAAGTCCAAACTTTGGGGCTGGGGGTATCTTCCACATCGTTATGTTCCTCATTCGAATCGGATTTGGAAGCACTCTGCAAAGAAGTACCCTCTGTCTCGTTTTTTGTCTTCTCGTCTGAGTTCTCTTCCATTTTATTCCTTTCTGTTTCATTCTCCTTCGTTTGATTTTCCTCCTTTTCTTTCTCTTTCGTTTGATTCTCTTCTATATCCTTCTCTATCGTTTCGTTATCTTTATTTTCTTTCTCCTGGTCCGTTTTGCTTTCCTTTGGCGATTCTTTACTTTTCTCAGTGTTGGCATTTTGCTCTTTGCCCTTAGTATCTCTTTCCTCTGATATCTCCTTCATAATTTCTGTATACGTCGCCTCATCAACTAATTCGGGAATGTCTATATCAACATTAAATTTTTCAAAGAAATACGGCTTCAGGGACTCCTCGGACAGCATATGCAAACTCTCCGATCCTTTCACCCAATGTTTCATATCAATTCCATTATCTTTTGCTTTGAAGCTAAGCTTTGTCCAAGGACTGGGCCTGAACCCTTTCCTGTCTCTGGCGTTTGCATGGGGCGTCAAACCAAGCGATGGCGTATTGGGTCCCATGAGATTATACAACTCACGAGCCATACCTGTAAGTGGCTTCAGTTGACTGCCTTCTGCCACCGTGGGTGACATTTTCTGCTTTTTACGAGCTGGGAGTTCATCTCGTTGGATATTGAGCACATCTAAGACATCTTCTGCGGACATCACTGTTTCTGTTTAGTTTGCTGTTGTTGTGACGTTAAAGATTAATCGTCGGATTTTGGCAAGCGCATCAAAAACTTTTAAACACGCGCGCTACCGAATATAGTTATATAACCTATGCTATATAATGGTATAAATTTCTATCGTTCGCATCCCTTTCCAAGTACTCTTTATCAATAAGATCTTCTATCCTTTGTTTTATTTGTACAACCAGCGGTTGAAATCGGTTACTCAATTGTTTAATCAAACCTTCGATCAATTCATTATGCTTCACCGTTCTTCTAGACTTTAAAATCCTCACTATAGCAGCATTAATCTCTATTTTCCTTCCTTCTGAAATATTTGCATTCACTGCTTCCACCTCTTCTTCCTCCTTGGTTTTCTTTCCTTTACCGCTTGCTGCTGAAGATGATAGTGAGACAGTCGGTACTTTCACTTTGACTGTAGGGGATTTAAATTTATCATTCAAGCGGAAAACGTCATCCTCTCTAACGTCTTTACTCATTGGGACTTTGATCAATAACCTCAGCTTCGGGGCAACGGCTATTGACTGCAAGTGGCGCTTGAGTTCTAAACTCGGAATACCCGTCAATTCGGCAATATCACGGTATGAATATTCCTTTTTCTCTTCGAAAGCCAGTCTCTCCTCATCATCCAAAGACAGACTTGGCGCAAATAGTAGCATTATTATCGCTGCATAGACGGACAAGTTTATTTCATACGTTTTGGAAGGGTAGGTAATTTTCAAATCGATTGAACCAAACTTGGGGGACCAGTATAAGGACTTGTTATCATTCTTCTTTCCCAAAAGCCAAAACTCTTCAAACTCGCGTATTGTTTCCCTTAATTGTCTTGGCCATTTGAATGCAAACTCTTCCCCGTCTGGTTTGCTATTCTTGTAGTCTTTTGTCAACGACTTGGGCCACACTGAAACATTACAAATCTTCAAGTCTAACTCAATCAAACTTGATGACAGTCTGTCCACACTGGACAAATGGTTTTTCCAATCTCGAGTTGTATCGCGCGATAGCTTTATATCTTTGTTCATTTTGATCACTTTATCTAAAGATGAAGACCCCATTTCTTCGCACAATTTTGAGAGCACCATTTCTTCAATGTCAACACTTTTTAAAGCCCCAACAGCTGAAACTTTTGCATTTAAAAATCTTTTAGCAAAGTGATTTGCATAGTATGCCTCAAAAGCGTCCCTGTCTTTTATAAATCGAAGGAATTGCACCGAGTTGTTAATTAGGTTTTCTGTTTGATCGCCGGATTGAGAAGTCAATTCTTTACCAGCCAAACCCTTACTTAGTTGTTTTATATAGTAGTCCATGTAGATAGAAAGTAGCTCCGGAGCATTTATGCTTGCCGTTGAATTTCTACCCTTGGCACTATTTATAAAGTCCCTCATCGCGTATGTCAAAGTTTGTTCAACAACTGGATTCTGGTCAAAAGAATCTTTCCAAATCTGTGAAACTGATAATTTATAATTGAGAACAGCATCAATCCATTTGATTGCAAACGTCGTATGTGCCGATGAACCGCCTTTCTTCTCAAACCCAGTGGCCTCCACTGTGGAACGTATTATGTCCGGTATTGTACTTCCTTGTGCTATGATAGCCTCCCTCAATCGAAGTCTCAAAAGCTGAAACTCATCACCAATCCTTCCTATGAGGCGATATAGTAATTTCAATTCAGTATGATGGTTAGGATCCTGAGAGATCGTCTCTCTTGTGAGATTTGCTATTGCAGGTTGAAGCCAATAATCGAGCCCTTCGTGCAGCAGTTGAATGACCTTGTCAATTTTATCCTTTATAAGGATATTGTCCATTAATGTAGATACTTTTAAGTGTGTACCCTGAGGTAAAAAAAACTTGATCCGCTTTTCCTCGTCGTCAATGAATTGAGAAGCGGCATGTAAATACCTGGATCCCAGATTAAATGCAATAAAATCCTTCGACAAGTCTTGGAAGAATTCCTCCGAGCTTGTCAAGAATATCGGTTCAAACACGGTCTGGTAGTAATTATCACCATACTGCATTTCAGAAGATAAATTGCCTTCCGTCAACAGCTCCATCATGTGTATGATCTTCGTAATATACATATTCGAAGTCACCACTATTCCCCTTCTGCTCTTACTAATCTCATCAAGGACAACTTGAATCATTTGCTGTCCAATCTCGTTGTTGTTGTACGTCACCACGTTCTCCTTAAAGAGCTGAACACCCAAGTCATAAATAAGAAGCTTTTTGTGCTCCTTCACATACACACGGTTGAGGTACATCAAAACGTCACTGATAAACTTCATACTTTGCAAATGCTCATCCCATTCTTGAATCAATAAACGCATGAATTGTTCGGGGCTAGAACCCAAACTCAACAACTTCGATCTCTCGACTAGCAAGTGATTTTTTACTGTCTCTGCAACGTTATCATACAACTGCCCTCCAAATTTCCTCAATACTAAAACATAAGCTTTACGGTATAGTTGCTCGTAAGAAAGGCTTGAGACATTTTTGCTTTGTATTTGAGTGATTGCATTTTGCAAGATGGACCAATTCTTCTCAAAATCAACTGCAGGGTCGGCGATGGGATGCTCAGCCGAAGATGACGAGCTAATCAATGACTTTCTTGGAGGTCTGATTTTGGACCTTCTACCTCCAGCAGGAATCATCTTTTTTTTTTTGCTTTAATTTCTGGGTTGGTGGCGTTATATAGTTGAAGTGCACCTGCACCAGATAGAGAATTGTAAAAAAATGCGGTGTCTTGTCTCATCAATACTGAAATTGATTACACAAAGACGTTGATGAAGACTTCCGCTGACTCTTCTAGGCGCACACTACAAAACATTGGTGCTCAATAGTTTGAACTAATACATAGCATTGGGTACATACATTTCAACTAATCATAGGATAAAGGGTTGAAAAAGGGTAAGATGTCTGGTAGTCTGGGTGAAAACTGACCGCTTACTCATCCTCTTATGTCGCTCTTTCATGACACAACATTTCGTGCAGTGGGAACCTCCCCAGGTTGAGCTCTAAGAGGTTTGTATTTTACCACTATTGAGTGGTCTATAGGGCAAGGGATTGAATGAACCTACAATCCCTCGTGATTCATTGGTTGCAATTTCGCGATAAAATAAGCCACAATTAGAGTTTATATATTACTCTATCCATTCTCGCGTTCCTTGTATCAGCTTAACCTATTTACGAGCTTTCCTTACATTTCTAAAAACTTTGAGTTGCTTGAAAAACCATTGCATGATAAATTCCACCAACCACAAGGGATAGTACCTTCCAATAAAATGTAAGGTATAACCACTGCTTCCACCGTACAAGTTGAATTTTTTCAGTCTCTTCAATACCTTTCGGCCAACGTCCCTGGCATACAGTTCAGCACTAACTCCGTTCTTCTCACTCATTTCCTTCGCTGCAATTCCACTTTCTATAGCGCCATCAACGTTGAATAACGAGTTGCCAAACTGCTTCTCGGCCTCCTTAACTGTTTCTTCCGCACCGATTTGAGTGTTTACTCCGCCTGTAATTACACTATGCACTTTGACTCCAAAAGGCTCCATTTCTCCATGTAATGTTTGTGCGTATGCGTCAATGGCTGCTTTTGTGGCGCTGTAAATGCTAATCCAAGCAAGGGGCACTCTTGCTGCAACTGAACTGGTGAAAACAATAGATCCTTTGGCATTGATGACGTACGGTGCAAGTTGTTTAGTGGCGTTAATATGACCAATCACATTTACTTGGAAAATCTTGTTCACTTTTGCTTCGTCCATCTCAGCTGCAGGACCACCGATAGCGATTCCTGCATTGTTGTACAAGATGTCCACATAGCCTCCTGTTTCTTTAAAGACAACATCTTTCAATCTCTTCAAATCATCAAGGTTTGTGATGTCACACGGAACTGAAATCACTCCATACTCAGCAACAAGAGGATCCTGTAAATGTAAGACAGCTTGTGGGGATGCGCCAACCACCTTGTAACCTCTCTTGCTAAACACTTTGGCAAGTTCGTATCCAATACCAGACGAGGCACCTGTGATAACTGCGTACTTTTGTCTTGGATTTCTCGATTTCAATTGACTCATTATTTTCTCTACTGTATAATTGAATAGCAAAAAAAGGTACCTTTTTGAATAGGATGCTTTAGAAGTTTAAATACTGGAGTATACTACTTATCACAGGACAATATTGATATATTAAAAGTACTTTTGTGCAATCATAAAATAAAATAATGCGGGGCATTGACAAGAATGATTTATAGCTTCTCCTGTATATTAGCCCAAGGGATAAACCACATTTTGTGGAGTATGTTTGATATGTGGCTATCAACGGTTCTTATGCTGTACTCCCTTGTAGCTTATATCCGCAACATATCAAATTTCAAACGTTTGATAAGGTGAAATGTTTACCACGGAAGAAGATAACCACTCCACAAATAATATCAATATTTCAATGAGAATGGTGCTATTTGCCCATTTTGCTGTGGCAAATTTTTAACAGATGATACTTGAGAAGGTGACACATAGCATGCGTAGCTTGCATCTTATGTGATACGCCAATTTGATTTGATCTCGCCATTTCAAGAAAGATGTAATCTACATTAAAACCATAGCTGAGAAAAATAAATTCATTTTGCAGACAATAATTCTAGTCAATTCGATTTCCTACTTTCTGGATTTCCTTATATTCCTAAACACCCTGAGCTGCTTGAAAAACCACTGCATTAGGTACTCCACCAACCATAAGGGAAAATATCTGCTAATAAAATGTAAAGTATATCCCCTACTTCCACCGTACAAGTTAAACTTTTTCAGCTTCTTCAACACTTTACGAGCTATATCCCTGGCATATAGTTCAGCAGTAACTCCATGCCCACTCATTTCCTTTGCTGCTGTGCTACTTTCACGGATACCTTCAACATTGTAATAGGAGTCCCTGAACTGATTTTCAACTTCAGCAACGCTTTCCCTTTCTCCAATTTCTGTGATTACCCCGCCTGTGATAATACTGTGTACCTTTACGCCGAATGGTTCCATTTCTCCATGTAATGTTTGTGCGTATGCGTCAATGGCTGCTTTCGTTGCACTATAGATGCTAATCCAAGCAAGGGGCACTCTTGCTGCAACTGAACTGGTGAAAACAATAGATCCTTTGGCATTGATGACGTACGGTGCAAGTTGTTTGGTGGCGTTAATATGACCAATCACATTTACTTGGAAAATCTTGTTCACTTTTGCTTCGTTCATCTCAGCTGCGGCACCATGAATGGCCAATCCAGCGTTGTTGTACAAGATATCCACATAGCCTCCTGTTTCTTTAAAGACAACATCTTTCAATCTCTTCAAATCATCAAGGTTTGTGATGTCACACGGAACTGAAATCACTCCATACTCAGCAACAAGAGGATCCTGTAAATGTAAGACAGCTTGTGGGGATGCGCCAATCACCTTGTAACCTCTCTTGCTAAAGGCTTTTGCTAGCGCATACCCTATGCCAGACGAGGCACCTGTGATAACCGCGTACTTTTGTTTTGAGTTGTCTAGTTTCGATTGGCTCATTGCTTGTACTACTGGAAGGAATACTTGAAAAAGAAAAAGGGATTTAAAGCAGATGTGTGGGAGCTTAAATACGGTGGGCATTTATCACAAGATTATTTCTAAAATTGTTATTGTGTAATGGGCATCAAAACCTAAATAGCGCATTACGGGAATCGGATCAAATTTAATTTTCCGCAGGGTGTATGGTACCAGGTCAAACCTGAGAGTAAAAGAGATACAGAATAGTCTCTGAATATGTTTCGCCTTCGGCTTGTAGCATTATTATGGGGTATTCCATTCGATAGATAGCAAACTTTTAAGGTTTTTGAGAGGTGCAAAGACTACAGCTAAGGAAGAAAGTTCACAACTTGGGTAAGCTGCTTTCGAAATTATCATCATAAATTTGCTGCAAAGTATATCTAGAAGAGATACGGCATTATCTGGAGAAACAGTGGACAATAAAGGAAAGCAAGGTTGACCATGTCTGTGAACAATAGATTATCTAGTCCCATTCCGAACCGATTTCCTTATATTTTTAAACAACTCAAGCTGCTTGAATGTCTTTTGCATCAAATGTTCAACCAACCACAAGGGGAAATACCTACCCATTAAGTGTAAAGTATAGCCTCTGGATCCTCCAAATAAGTTGAATTTAGTCAGCCCTTTTAGAATCTTTCTAGATACATCGTCAGCGTAGGCATCTGGGCTGATTCCTTTCCTCAAGCTCATACCTTTTGTGGCTCGTGTACTATCCAAAATGCCTTCCACATTGTACAATGAATTTTGAAGTCTCTTTTGTGCGTCAGCAAGAGACTCCAGACCACCAATTTGAGTGTTTACTCCTCCCGTGATAATACTGTGTACCTTTACGCCGAATGGTTCCATTTCTCCATGTAATGTTTGTGCATATGCGTCAATGGCTGCTTTCGTTGCACTATAGATACTGGTCCAGGCAAGAGGCACTCTTGCTGCGACTGAACTGGTGAAAACAATAGATCCTTTGGCATTGATGACGTACGGTGCAAGTTGTTTAGTGGCGTTAATATGACCAATCACATTTACTTGGAAAATCTTGTTCACTTTTGCTTCGTCCATCTCAGCTGCAGGACCACCGATAGCGATTCCTGCATTGTTGTACAAGATGTCCACATAGCCTCCTGTTTCTTTAAAGACAACATCTTTCAATCTCTTCAAATCATCAAGGTTTGTGATGTCACACGGAACTGAAATCACTCCATACTCAGCAACAAGAGGATCCTGTAAATGTAAGACAGCTTGTGGGGATGCGCCAATCACCTTGTAACCTCTCTTGCTAAAGGCTTTTGCTAGCGCATACCCTATGCCAGACGAGGCACCTGTGATAACTGCATACTTTTGTCTCGATCCTGATCTAGAATAGCTCATCGTATTGTGGATACATGTGGGGCAGCTAACTAAGTTTCAAGAGACCAGGGTCTATCACTCCTTTTATCTTATTCAAAAAAAGGGGGAACGGTGTGTGGTGAGGAGAAGGATCCTTTTATTTTTATCTCCGTGATCTTGCACGTGAACTTTTTTGCTGGTGAAATATCGGAGATACGCAACCCCCACATTTTTTTTATCAAAGACCAAACTGTAATCCGTTGATAAGTACAGCTGGAGATAGCAATACTTTTTGGAAGTAACTAAGTCTTTGTTGATTACTTCTTGGGCTGATCAAAGGATGGCGTTAAACGCCTTGGCCAGGATTAAAGAACCCGTTTGTTGCAATGGTGAAAGGAACGGGTGTTTGATAGGAACAGTAAGACATAAATGCTACAAAATGTAAGTGGTAAAGCAGCAAGACTTTTGTAAACTCCATCTAGTGTGAAATTGCAACCTGTTTGACTGAATTTTTCGGGCCTAAGCAGTTTCCTCCGAAAAATATTGCTTTGTGTGATTGGGAAAAACTAAGTCCGTATATCGTAAAGTAATTGAATTTTCCTCATGATTTAAATCTGTTGCAAAACTTTGATAAACTGTCGGACTTTTTTGCAGTGAAATTTTTTTAAAAACCTTTTGCGTAAAGAATATTGATCCTTTAATACAATCTACGAATTAAAGCTCATCAAGAAATCTGATAGAATGAAGAGGCTCTGGATATATGTTTCCGTTAGCTCTACAGAAGGCAGCACACATTCAAACAACTTTTAACACCCTAACACCTCCCAGCCGTTCTCTAATAATATAACTTCTGTGTCTCCTGTAAAGGAGTCCAGACTCGCCGCTTATGATTAATGCGAATGTAATTGGCCCAGCAAAAAAAAGAAATGGATCTCACCGAAACCGCTCCTATACCGGTCCGCAATAGTATTACACTCTTTTTGATGACGCATGTTGAAAAAAAAAAAACTTGACCATATTTATATCACCTAAAAGAACCAAGTTTGAAGATTTATCCCACATTCAAAACAACATCACTACTTGAAAAAGAAAAATGGCCCCTAAAACATTATACGATAAAGTGTTTGAGGACCACATTGTCCACAAAGATGAGTCCAACTCTTGCTTATTATACATTGACAGACACTTAGTTCATGAAGTCACTTCCCCTCAAGCATTTGAAGGATTGAGAAATGCAAATAGATCTGTGAGAAGAAAAGACTGTACTTTGGCCACGGTAGATCATAATATCCCAACAACTCCCAGAACCACTTTCAAGGATGTTGACACTTTTATCAAACAAGGGGACTCAAAATTGCAAGTTAAAACTTTGGAACAGAATGTAAAAGACTTTGATGTCAAGTACTTTGGAATGAGTGATAGCAGACAAGGTATTGTTCACATTGTTGGTCCAGAACAAGGATTCACATTACCTGGTACGACTGTTGTTTGTGGTGATTCACACACATCCACCCACGGTGCTTTCGGCGCTTTGGCGTTTGGTATCGGTACTTCGGAGGTTGAACATGTTCTTGCAACTCAAACCATCATCCAAACAAAATCGAAGAACATGAGGATTTTCGTCGATGGGTCCTTAAGTGAGGGTATTACTTCTAAAGATTTAATCTTGCATGTCATTGGTGTAATTGGTACTGCAGGTGGTACTGGTTGTGTTATTGAGTTTGCAGGTAAGGCTATTGAAGAGTTGTCTATGGAAGCAAGGATGTCCATATGTAACATGTCAATTGAAGCTGGTGCAAGAGCAGGTATGATCAAGCCAGATGAAACAACCTTCAAGTATATCAAAGGAAGACCATTGGCACCAAAAGGAGAACAATGGGATAAAGCTGTAAAATACTGGAAAACATTGCATTCCGATCCAGGAGCAAAATTTGATTACGATATCAAGATTGCTGCCAAGGATATTGTACCCACGATAACTTGGGGTAACTCGCCACAAGACGCATTGCCAATTACAGCTAAGGTCCCTGATCCAGCAGAGGTAAGCGACCCAATAAAGAAAGAAGGTATGCAAAGAGCATTGAAATACCAAGGGTTAACCCCAAACACTCCATTGAAAGACATCAAAATTGACAAGGCATTCATTGGTTCATGTACAAACTCGAGAATTGAAGATTTGCGAGCTGCAGCTAAGGTCGCAAAAGGACACAAAAAAGCTGATAACGTTAAAGAAGTTTTGGTCGTACCTGGTTCTGGTCTTATCAAAAGACAAGCCGAGAAAGAAGGTCTTGACAAGATTTTCGAGGCTGCTGGGTTCACGTGGAGAGAAGCTGGTTGCTCGATGTGCTTGGGAATGAATCCGGATATCTTGAGCCCAGAAGAAAGATGTGCATCAACATCGAACAGAAACTTTGAAGGTCGTCAAGGGGCAAGGTCAAGAACACACTTGATGTCACCAGCAATGGCTGCAGCTGCCGCTATCAAAGGTCATTTTACCGACATTAGAGAATTTGAGCACAGACACACTGATGAACCTGAAGTAGCCATTGAACTGGGCGAAGAGGACCAAGAATTGCAAGATGCGGTGTACGAGCACGAAAAAGTGCCAATGGATGTGTCACAAGCTGTTGAGGATGACAGGCTTAAAGATATTCCACAGCCATCTCCTAAAAAAGCTAAGCCTTCTTCTGACTCTGAAGGAGGTTTAGATAAATTCACAGTCTTGACTGGTATTGCAGCTCCATTGTTTAAGGCCAATGTTGATACCGATGCCATTATCCCAAAACAATTTTTAAAGACAATCAAGAGAACTGGGTTGAAAGATGGGTTGTTTTACGAGGCCAGGTTTGTCAAGGAAAATGGCAAAGATGTCGAAACTGATTTCGTGTTGAATCGAGAACCATATCGGAAAGCAGAAATTTTGGTTGTCACTGGTGACAATTTCGGATGTGGTTCATCTAGAGAACACGCTCCATGGGCATTAAAGGACTTTGGTATTAAGTCAATAATAGCTCCATCTTTTGGTGATATCTTCTACAACAATTCATTCAAGAACTTTTTGCTTCCAATCAGATTACCTCAGGAAGTCATCGAGTCCAAGCTCATACCTGTAATTGAAGGAGGGCACAAGTTAACAATCGATTTACCAACACAGCAGATAAGAGATGGTGAGACTGATGAAGTTTTGGTTCAACATTTTGATGTCGAAGAATTTAGAAAGCACTGTTTACTTAATGGATTGGATGATATTGGATTGACATTGCAAAAGGAGGAGTACATTCAAGCATACGAGGAGAGGAGAAGAGACAGGTTTTCATTCTTGGAGGGTGGATCAAAATTGATTACCCCTGTTAGGGGAGCTAAGAAGAGCAAGTATGGTTTGAAGACCCAAGAATGGTGATGTGAATTTAACGTTTATAATTTATTATATTGAGCTCTATTTATTACACTAAAAAAAAGAAAAAAAGAATGCAACACTTTATCAATCTGCACGTTCTGACATTACTTGTTTAACTGGCTCTGAATCGCCATAAAGATTGTGTTGTTGAATGTATCTTATCACGGAATTTGGTAGCAAATATTGCACAGACATGCCTCTCCTTATGAACAATCGTATTTTCGTTGATGAGATATCATTGTAAATCAATTGCTTAATCACCAAAATGTTTTTCCGATGTTCATACATAATGTCGTGACTTAGAAGAAAGCTTCTCACGTCGGAGCCTGTCCGTTCTACGATCAAGCATCCGTATTTCCCAAGTATGTGATGTAAATCCTGGTCAGCCCAAACATCCGGCTCTCCCATTGACTCGATCAAATCTCCACCCGCCAAGAGCATGATTTTGACTCCTCTTCTCTTGCCTGACTTTGTCATAATTCCTCCTCGTTTAATGTTTATTTCTTCATTGAAGTGGTCCAAGACTAGTGCAGTTCTAGTATACTTTGGTTGTAATGATTCCCATGCGTCGACCATAAGCCACGACGAGGTTCGCTCACAGGCCAATTCACACATTCTCACCCTGTGATGTGCAGGAGCTAGCCCCTGTTTCTTGTAATTCGACGATACCGGACTGTAATACCCACCAATGACTTCAAATCTGGTCTGTTCAATTACAGCATCCAATGCCATTTCAAACATTCTTAAATGCAAGTAAGTTATGGGCGAGTAACTTCCGCAAGCCACAATTACTAATGGTGCTTTTGATTCATCGGTCAAAGTTGTGCCCAATCTATGGGTGGGGAATTCATAATCATTCAATTCCGTAGCTTGTCTTTGTATACCATGTGGTACTTCTTCCAAGTCGGCAATCTGGGAAGAACGTACTTGAATAGAAGGTGGTAGAATTTCCTTTCGACTTTTTTCTTGGGGTTCAGCAACATCAATAATGATCTCCTCTTCATCAGACGAGGAATTCGTCAACTCAGTATGTTTGCGAGGAATCTTGGAATGGTATCTTGATTCAGATTCACCGCCGCTTTCGTACGATTTGAGTCGAATTACTGATGGTTTTGCTGAGGAGGCTGGGTGTGGCGCTGGATCATCTAACGCTTCACCTAGATCTTCCATTACGAAAGGTTGGATTGGGACATTGTGCGGTATTGCATGCAGTGGTGCTGTTGGCTCAATGTTCTTGTTCTTTGACGGAGGCATGAAATTTGGGTCATTTGTGGGGTCCATTGTGGATATCTCTTAGTCCTAAAGAATGCAAGGCGATTGTATTAACTGTAGGTGTTCTCTTGGCCTATAACTGATGACCAGCTTGTATATCCTTCTATGAATGGTAATTTAACTTCACTGCTTGAAGGTGGTTGTTGTATATCGGTGTACGTTGCGTACAGGTATTAGGACACAGACGTTTCTTGTATTTCCGGGTTTATAAAAGAAAATTTTTTTTGCTCACGAGATAACAATTGTTTGCGTGGTGTGTGTTCACAAAAATTAGTCATGCTGTGTTGAGAGGGAACAGACCGGCGGAATAGTGACGTGCGGTTGAAATGGCAGCAAAACGGCCTTAACAGGAAACGGCACTGGCTATTTTTAGTGAAAAATTGTGGATCATTGTTTCTGGCAGGAGCTACTAATTGCACAAGCTTCAGGATGGCGGTATCTCCCCATACATTTGTAGAGGGATCTCTTACCAGGTAATGACGCTTGGTCAATCTCTACATTTACATTATTGTGGCTTGGCTTCGTCAAGCACAGTGGCTGTTTGCACCAAAAAAAAAAAAAAAATTGCTTCAGCAAAAACTCTGGGATGTAATGACCAATTGCTTACAGAACAAAACAACACAGTCATGACAAATAGGGCCAAAATTAGACCTGCCAAAAGGTTGATGAATGCTGCCGGTGGGTGTGCAAAGTACGGTACGGAATATGGCAATTGTGTTCTTCTAAAATATCAAACAATTAAGAAGGGCGATTGTGAACAAGAGTTTCAAAAGTTTAAAAGCTGTGTTACCGAGAAACTAGCAAAGAAGTAAGCCTGATTTGTGCATGATCGAATTAGTGCATTAGGTAAAGGTGATTGAAATTCGGATATGGATTGGCTGAAACCACAAGTAACAGCTTACAGTGAATTGCTATGTCTGTTTATGATGACAATATCAAATAGCAACACAGAGTATCATGTTGAGAGTATATCAAAGAAGTACCCCCATTATACCAGCTAGCTTATCCCACCCGCTGTCCTCAAAAGAACGACTCTGTAAATGTGTAGCTTCGTTTGTATAGCCTAATAACGCAATATCTTCGAGTGATCACGTGCACTTCATACTCCACATAAATAGAAGCAAACAAAGAGGAGAAAAAAATAATCACTTTTGGGTGTATGTTGATAAACGATTTCCTTTATCCTCGGAACAACTGGCTTTCTGATATCCACATAACAGAGACACTTGACTGCGCTAGCAATCATGGTAAGTATATCACGATTAGCCGGCTACAACAAGCAGGATGTCAAAAATATCATCTTGTTGTTGCAAGAGTTTATGGTTACATACAAGCAAAACAAGGTCACATTGAATTACCAGTCCCGTCCCGTGGTTTTATTCTTTAGTACATTAATTGCCACTGCTGGGTTTGGGCTATACTTTTCCATCAGAAGTGTTGTCAACAAGTACAATGAGTACGTATTGGCCAAGAAGTTACGTCGTCCCAGTCTCATTCGTCAGTCGTCCAACATGCTAAAGAATGGGACAAGGGAGGTTTTCATTCCTAGTGGCAAGGATTCCATTAAAAGAATCATTATACCCAAGCCAAACAACGATTTATATGCTGCTGATAAGTATCTATATAAAGACTTTGCTATCAACCAGCGTCTTTTGCTGCAAAAGAAGGGAGTCCTTTTCAGCTCAAAATTTCTCAACCAATTAGCCATCATATGGAGGATCTTGATTCCTAAATTCTACAGCAAAAACACCTCGTTGTTGTTATCACAGTGTTTTTTTCTAATATTCCGAACATGGTTGTCCTTGCTAGTGGCCAAATTGGATGGTCAAATTGTCAAGAATTTGATTGCCGCCAATGGTAAAAAGTTTTCGCGTGACTTGATTTACTGGTTGTTGATTGCTTTTCCTGCTTCCTATACGAATGCAGCTATTAAATACTTGGATCAAAGGTTGGCCCTTGGATTTAGAACTAATTTGACTAGATATATCCATGACATGTACCTTGACAAGACAATGGCTTACTACAAGATAGATTTGGGCAATTCAGCTCTTCAAAATATCGATCAATACATCACCGATGATGTGACAAAGTTTTGTTCGTCATTATCGTCATTGTTTTCACTGATGGGTAAGCCATTTATCGACATGATTTTCTTTGCCGTTTATTTGAGGGACAATTTAGGTAGTGGTGCCATTATTGGTATATTTGCAAACTACTTCCTTACTGCAGTGATGTTGAAAAGAGCTACACCGTCATTTGGTAAGTTGTCGGCACAAGGAGCTCACCTTGAAGGAATCTATTTCAACCAGCATTTGAACTTTATGACCAATTGTGAAGAAATTGGGTTCTACAAGGGATCTCTTGTTGAAAAGGCAAAGCTAACTGAAAACTTTAAAAAGTTGATGAACCATGTAAAGAAGGAGATTAATACCAGTTTCTGGTATGCCACATTGGAAGACTATGTTTTAAAATATACTTGGTCGGCATGGGGCTATATTTTTGCCGGATTGCCAGTATTTTTAGATGAATTGTGGCCCGCTGAAGGCAAAAAGAAGGATGTATCCCCCGATGCACAGGCAAATGCTGCGAGTGAGCGTAAAAACATGAGACAATTTATCACCAACAAGAGATTGTTGTTGTCTCTTGCCGATGCGGGATCGAGATTGATGTACTCGATCAAGGACGTCAATACATTGACTGGGTATACCGATAGAGTCTTTGAGTTGTTGACACAGTTGCATCGTGTGCATTCGCCTCGATTCGACTATGGTGATAAACATGGAATTGCCGATATTCACGGTACAATTCAAAACAATTACCCTAATGGATTAAGGTTTGAACACATTCCCGTGATTATACCAACACCACAAGGATCGGAATATACCCCCTTGGTTAAGGATTTAAATTTCCACATCAAGCTGAGAAACATGTTGATTTTGGGTTCGAATGGGTCAGGAAAGACTTCAATTGCTAGAATCATTGCTGGTTTGTGGCCATTGTACAGTGGCCTTTTATCTAAGCCAAACGACGACGATATATTCTACTTGCCACAAAAGACTTATTTCACCACAGGAAATTTGAGAGATCAGATTATATACCCTCATTCGTATGTTGAGATGTTGGAGATGGGTTACAATGATGATTATTTGTACCATATTCTTCATGAAGTCAAATTGGAGTATCTTTTGAAAAGAGAAGGAAGTTTCAATGTGGTTAAAGATTGGAAGGATGTGTTTAGTGGAGGTGAAAAGCAAAGAATTAGTATTGCTCGTGTTTTATTCAAGAATCCTAAATGTGTTGTTCTTGATGAAAGTACCAATGCCGTTAGTACTGATGTTGAAGATTATCTTTTTGAACTTTTAAAACTGAAGAAAATCCCATTCATTACTTTATCTCATAGACCTTTGTTGATGAAGTACCACGATTACATTTTAGAAATTGAAGAAGAAGGTACTTGGAAATTACATGATTTGACTAGTGAAGAAAATTTGCAGACCATTGATAATGAAATTGCTGAAATTGAAGAAAAGATTAGTCAAGTATCTAAATGGGAAAAGAGAAAAGATGAGATTAATGATTACTTGGATGGGAAATTTGATAACATTGGAATGGAAAGTTCAATTGATTTTTCGGAGAAATCCATCAAGGTGGGATCTGCTTAAGTAGGTAGGGGAACTCTAGTAATGAAAAGGAAAATGTTTTTAAAACGTGGTGTAGAATATTGTCGCAGTTTAACTCTATTCGTCATTTGAAGAAGAAAAAAAAAGAAAAAAATAAATTCAAAATGGAAAAAAAGTTTCAACGAAAAAAGGATTTTTTTCCTTCATCTCTACTAGAGACTAATTTTTCTAAACCGAAACGCCCTCCCTTTCAAACTGGAAACAATAAAACCAAAGGAAATAACAACACATTGATATCATCATGTCGGAACCGATTAAGAAAAAGAACGGTGACATTTCCAAAGCACCTACTCCTCAAAACACGCCAGCCAGTGTCACCAACTCATATTTGAAGCTGCAACCGCCAACAGTGCCAACGATTGAAGAAGGCAATGAGAACAAGATCAATCAAACATTGGCCAATAACCCAGTATTGTTGTCGATGATTCAGGGTAAATTGGGTGATTTGGTGGGGAAAAGCAGTGGCTATGTTGCTAACTTGCCTTCAGCGGTGAAGAATAGAATTTATGGATTGAAGTCAATACAACAACAACAAATGAAACTAGAGGCTGAGTTTCAGAAGGAGTTGTTGGAGTTAGAAAAGAGGTATTTCAAGAAATATGAGCCACTTTATGCCAAGAGAAAGGAGGTTATTGTTGGGGATGTTGAACCTAGTGAGAAAGAGATTGAAGAAGGAAAAGCACTTGAAGAGAAAGATGATGATGATGATGAAGAGGAGGAAGATGAAGAAGAGGAGGAGGAGGGTAAAGAACAAGATCAGGAAGATGGTAAAGACGCCAAGGGTATTCCTGGATTCTGGTTAACTGCTTTGGAAAACTTATCCACAGTATCCGAAACCATCACCGATAGAGATTCGGAAATCTTGGAACATTTAATCGACATTCGTATGCAATACTTATCAACCCCAGGATTTGAGTTAATTTTTGAGTTTGGCGAAGGTGGTAATGACTATTTCTCGAATTCAATCTTGACTAAAACATACCATTATCAGGCTGAGTTGGGATACAGTGGAGATTTCGTTTATGACCATGCCACTGGATGTGAAATCAGTTGGAAATCAAAGGAGAAGAATCCAACAATAAACATCGAAAGAAGAAAACAAAGAAATAAGACAACTAAACAAACTAGAACCATTGAAAAGATAACCCCAACTGAGTCGTTTTTCAATTTCTTTGATCCACCAAAGCCACCTAAAGTTGACCATGAGGATGATGATGATGAAGAGCACAATCATAAGGAAGGTGACAACGAAAATGTCGATGATGAAGAAGAAGACGAAGAAGACGAAGATTTAGAAGCTAGATTGGAGTTGGATTACCAATTGGGAGAAGAAATCAAAGATCGTTTGATTCCAAGAGCAGTTGACTGGTTTACTGGTGATGCCGTTGATTTTGCTTATCCTGATGAATTTGATGGCGATGAAGACGAAGAGTTTTCCGATGAGGATGGTGAAGACGACGACGATGATGAAGATGACGATGATGAGGATGGTGATAATAGTGGACAAGGTGAAAAGCAGCCACCAGCTGAATGTAAACAACAATAACTGGAGTGATAGTGTGTGTATAGTGACAAATTAGCTGTAATAAAGTATCTAAGATGTTGATGATTAAAGCAAAAGAACGCAATGTGTAGTGTGTAGTGTGTAGTGTGTAGTATGGGAAGAGGAATATTATCAAGATGAGCAGGAACGTTGTTTATTTATACTGAGAATGAGACAATTCAAATGAGACAATTCAAAAAAGTAAGGCTAAGAAGAAGGCAGGTTTGACAAACTTTTTGAGTGCATAGAAAAGACTTTGGATCAGTCAATTTTAAACATAGATGCCAGGCCTGGACTATAAAACCTTCCCAGCACGTTCGGTTTTTTTCTTATAAACAAAATAACCACATCTGCTTCTTTTGTTTTGTCTTTTCCATCGAGCCGAAAATTGCAAAAAAATGCAGAAATGCAAAATTGCAGAATTGGAGAATTGGAGAATTGGAGAATTGGAGAATTGGGGTGTAGTGGTGGTGTGCCAAGTCAAAAGAAACAAAGAAGCAATAGAAAAGAATATAATAGAACAACCCTTCATTTTGACTAAAAAGTTACGACAGACAATGAGGTGTGGTGTGGTTTTTATGTAACTCTTGTTAAATCCAAATAAATCCAAATTCTCTTTCGGTGTGTAAAAAGATTCACAACTTTAAAATCTTCTATCTGATGCCGAGGAACCCACATTATACATTACACAATTTACACAGTTTACAAAGTTTACACATATATAGCCGAACAAAGAAAAGCGCGATATTTTAAGTTTTTAACCATTATTTTTCTTTTTAGAATGAAAATAAAAAAAGTCCACGTTTTTAAACGGGCATGCAAATGCTACAAAGCTTTATCTCAGTCTAATAAGTTAAGTTAGTCGAATAGAAGTTGGGTTAAGGGTTTATTACATGTGAAATGCAAGAAAGAGGTTGATGTATTATGTTAAATAAAAGTGAGGAAAAGAGGCGGGGAGTGGGGGTGTCGTATAATTAACAAAAAATACAAACAATTGAAAACTTCAACAAGACAAGAAACAAAACTTCACAAAAATAGAAACAAAGTTGCAGTCCACAAACATAGAAGATATAGTTAACACAAAACTTTGCATAAGGGATAAAGATGGAACTGTAATAGTAAAGTGGTGGGGGTACAACAACACGAGGGGCAGAGATTGTTTTGTTTTTTTTTTTTTCATAATTTAACCGAATAAAGATGCAACAACAAAAGAAAAGAAAAGAAAAGAAAATAACACTAGTAACAGGTTAGAGTCTTTTAAAGATGAGAACAGGAATATTTTGATATACAATCACTCACTCGATTGAAGAAAACACATATTCTTTTAGTTTTTCACTTTTCTTTTTGTATCATTTTCATGTCTCCCTCGGCATAGAGGAAAAAACATGAGGTCTATATATGATGTACATATGATACTACTACCAGGCATAAGGTAAGACATGGAAGAATAATTCCAGAGTGGTTTCTCCTTCCACTTTTTTGATTCTCATACTCGTCTTTTGTCTTCTTCTTCCAACTTCTTTGCTTGCTTTGTATAAGCTATAATCTTGTAGAGAATCTTATGCTCAAACACTTTTAAAATATTACGAAAACAACACAAAGAACGTTCCTCCAAACTCCCTTTTTTATTTTTTTATTTTTTTATTTTTTTATGTTTTTATGTTTTTAAATTTTAGGGCCCAGAACAAAGACTATAGACACTGTACAAAGAAAAAGTGAAACACGATAACTCAAAGATAGAGATTTTTTTCAATTACGAAACAAACATTGGCAAATGTTTAGTGAGTTCAATGAGTTGAATACTCTTAAGTCTTTCCATATCAAATGTGTGTGTGTGTGTGTGTGTGTGTGTGTAAACCATTTGCATGTGAATCTAGACTCTTATTTGCAGTATTAGTCTTATAGAACATACGTTTTTTGTCTAATTCTTAAAAGGGTTTCTTAGTCTTACAAATTGCCAGGTTTAACAACATTTGATTGGTTAATAAATAAATACACTTTGTTTAATCAAACGTTTGAGTTTTTTTATTTTTTTTATCTTTTTTATTTGCACTTTTGTCCAGTATACTTTTTCACTTTTACACTGTATTAACCACTAGGATTGTTTCATTCTCTGTATGTCTGTAATGTTGTAGGTCATTTCGTTCTGTAACATCAGGCTATGCTGCTGCCTTTTTAAACTGAGACACATTTGTTAAAACAAAGCAAAGCAAAACAAAACAGGGGGTGTTAAAAAAATAAAAAAAAAGAAACAGAAAAGCAAGAATTAAGGAGAGGAAAAGAAGGTGTTTTGTTTGCTATGTAAAATCAACGACTACTTTACTATACAATACAAAACAACAAAACCGTAGACGAATATACAAACAGCTAGGTTTAGTGTTAGCATTAACACTACTAACCACGGTTGAAAGTAATGGTTACACATGTGTGTGAAGGCTACGTTGATTGATAACTGGAAAGGTTTTATACACACAGTTTGTTGTTAAAATGATTGTTAATAGCAATGTTCCACAAAACATATATTTATTCCCAAATTCAGCCACAACTAAGGAGAAAAAAAAAGATTATTACATCATACACAAAAACAAACATCTCTCTTTTTAATTTTATAAAATTATCACATGCAAATTGTTAAAAAAAAGGCTATAGATAGCAATTTAAACCATAATACATATACTTTAAACTTACACACTGTACATTACAAGATAATACTAAAATAATAAAGTAATAGTAGTAACAGTAGTAGTTAAGATTTCCCGAGAACAAAACTAAATAATAACAAAAGCTTTATTTTCCAATTGGAATACGTAATTACCCGAAGACAAAACAAACAAACAAACAAACAAACAGACAGACAGACAGACAGACATACAACTGTAAAAGATAACAACACGATTGCAGAGAGTATAACTACTTTCCAGTGCCCAGATAGATAACATAGCATATACCAATAGACTGACCGACTGACCGGCTGATATAAAAATATAAAACAAAACTATTAATTACACCATAGACAAAATCATCAACTGACTTACTTGACATATGACAACATATATAGACAGTGAAAATAAATATTAAATAATACAAACAAACAGTGGCAATAATTTAACATGTGATAATTTTCAAACACATCTTACCACTACTACTACTACTACTACTACTACTAACGATTACTTCTGTCTCTCTGTTTCTCGATGACCTCTCTGTGTTTGACTGATGAGATGTGAAACTAATTTTAGTCTGAGGTTCAGTAACACTTTGTGTATGTATGTAATGCACATTGAGCTAAACAATTGCTCTTAATTATTTGTCTTGTGTAAAATCTTACATATGTGTGTATTGTTGTTGTTGTTGTTACCTATAACAACAAACCATATGATAAAATACCAAGTAGTAAACACTAAATACTAAATACTAAATACTAAATAATCTCAATGTCTATATTTACAACTAACTAACTAACAATCTATCTATCTAACTATCTAACTCTCTATCTATTATAAATATCAACCACAATTTCTTTCAATTCAATTTTCCCATATCCAACTTTTTCTTTCTTTCTTTCTTTCTTTCTTTCTTTCTTTCTTCTATTTGTTTTCACATATTGCATTTTTCCAGCTACTACAATTACTACAGATAGTACTATTATTACTACTTGTTCAAGAAAGTCAAAGTTATCTAATCAAACACAGCAACAACACAGTTAGTTATTACTATTGTGTTCTAAGTTTTACATTTTACAATTCTTTTTTTAGCACGTGCAAATCTTTTTATTTTCACCTGCCACACTTCATTTTATTTTTAAGGAGAGGTGACACATACTTAAATTGCAACCACAACAGCAACTACAGCAACAACAATTAAAGCCACGCAATGTCTGATATCCAACAAGTTAAGCAAAAAGCTAAGCAAGCCTTGCCCAAACAAACCAAAAAGTTCAATTCCAAGTCACTTGAACATGTAAACAACTATTCCCTTGTTCAATATGTTGAAAATTTAGTCTTGTCCTTTTCAGTTTTCAACTCCATTTACCAACAATTTATTGTCCCATTGTACCAATTTATCACTACACAAGTGTTGTCAGTATCCCCCATTTACGACATTGCTGATTTAGTTGATGGATTGACGCTTTATTTCCTTGGTTTATTTGACCATGCCTTTATCGACTTGCCTAACCAATTTATCCACTTCGTTGTTGTTAATTTCATCAAACCCATCAATCAACAAATTATCACCATTAACAATTCATTTTTAAAACCAGTCGAAAATGACGCTGAAGATTCTCTTTTCCAAATTTACTACACTTTGAAGTCGATTGTCCTCAATATCACCAATGTCGCATTTTCAAAATCAAATGAATTGCAACACCAAATTGTCAACACCTACAATCAAGAATTGTCATCAACACCCGCCAATAAGTCATATTTGGAAAAGAATTTGACTGCTAGTTACAATACTGGTGTCAAGACGGTTAAAGTGTTGAATGATGATATTTTGGTTCCATTAAAAAATCAAACCCAAGAGTTTTATACTAATGGTAAAAAGAATGCCGAATCGTTTTTGAAAGAGACAAGAGATCGTATTGAGCCTAAATTGAATAATGCAGCTGAAGAATTGAATAATAAAAAGGATGATTTGTTGAAGAGTGCTAGTAATGCCGTTCCTGTACCTGCTAATTAAGTTTATCCCTGGGGGAAGCTTAACAGATATTTTTTGCTTAAAGGTTTGAAGTTGGAGAGTTTTATACCAATTGGTTATTTCACAACTGGGATTGAGAATGTTCATCATCTCAATTCTTTTATACACATACATGCATACATACACACATGTTTTTTTTTTTTATATAGCTTTTATTTTGTTTTTTGAAAGTGTTTACTAATATACCTTATACCCTATATCTTATTCACCTGTATCGTAAACCGAGTCATAAGTTAAACCAAATATACTTTTCTACTTACTTACTCACTCACTCACTCACTTCACTGTTCTCGGAAACGACTTGATATAATCTATTCCCCCGACACACTGCGGCACCGTCAACTGTTTATCACCACCACCAACAATCAGTTGCAAAATCTCAATCCCCACATCCACCGTACGTTGTATAGCATCATGTTCCAAAATGAGCCCCGTGCCACCACGTTCCTGTTTGAAACGCTTCACATCATGATACACATCCTGTTCCGTTCTCCTATTTGAATGATCAAGCATCTTCCAATCAAATGTGTCGAAATCCCAAAGAACCGCCTGCATGCCAAACTGCCTTAAGATAGACCGCACCCGATTATCAATGCCACCATAAGGTGGTCGAAACCATTTGGGCAAATGGAACCCTGTTGCATTCATGCTCCAAATCAGCCATTCAATCTGGGCAATAATATCCTGATTTGACAATGCCGGGAGAAACTTGTGCGACCACGTATGCGACCCCATTATATGTCCTGCAGCTATTGAATCATGGTAAATATCGGGGAACCGCACAATATTGACGCCCAATGTAAACAATGTTGTCTTGGTGTGCGTCTTGTTCATTGCCGCAAGTAAACTGCGAGTATAGGGACTAGGTCCATCATCAAATGTTTGTGAGAGTTTGGGACACGTATAAACATCATCAAATTCAACACAATTGAAGCAATCAAATGAACAACTGGCGGGTGACCGTAATTGGAGTTGTGAACACGATGCTTGATTGTGAAGGGGCACAGGCACAATTTTATTGAAATCAATGAAATCTAATGGGATGTAAGGTGGATCCAACCCGGGCCATTCATGTAATCCCGTGAAATCAGTTAACCACTGTGGAAAAGGCAATTTTGGTGGGTAGATCATAGGTGACGGTGGAAGCTCGTATTGTTTGGGAGATGGTGGTGGTTGATTAGCCTCGTTGGTTTGTTGTTGTTGTTGTTGATGTTGGTGTTGTTTCATTTGCTGTTGCACATGAAAATCGGGCGTTACTGCATAAACATAATTGTCAAACACTTTACTACTAGATGGTCCATGGGCTCCATTGCTTACATCATCTCCTTTATTATTACTGTGATTATTGTAGAATTTGGGGGAAATGACCGATGATATCTTAGCACTCAACCGTTTTGAATATTCGGACGCATAAACAAATGATAACGATATGGTGAATAGGTAAATAAAAAGAGCCCACCACTTCATTTCTATTATTATTAATACTAATGATGATGATGCTATTTCAAGACAAATGAGTGCCTTTGTTTTGTTAGAATTCAAATGATGGAAATTAGACTTTGGTGGAACCTATTTATCAACAAAGGAGAAATGATGGATTAAGATTTGTAAAATTTCAAAAAAGGTAAAAAAAATAGAACAAATATGAAGCTGGAAGGGTTCACCGTTTTGTTTTGTTTTGTTTTCTTTAATTTTTTTTTTTTGCAACTATTTCTTTGATATGGTGAAATATTGCACAACAAAATGACCAACAGTGTAACTAAACGTAAGCATCCGTGACACACAATAACAGAACTCTCTCCAAATTCAGTCCCTCCCCTCTCACTTCCGCTTCTTTCTCTTGATCAATCCAGTAAGATCGTTAGCTTTCCCATTTCCACTGCCAGTAACTCCCAGCACCAGCAGTAAACTTTTCTTTTCGCCACCACCACCACCAGTGTGACCAGAAGTATGCTCACTCACTTTTGCCTTTTTTCCAATTACTTGTCCATACTTGAAGCCATCGTCAAGACCCAAAGTCTTGTTAAAGAATGCAGGTATCTGAACTTGAGTCAAGTACTCTACATCGACCAATTTATCAAAATTGATCAGTTTCAAAACATGATTAACAAATTGTTTATATTGGTGAACTGTAACCACCAAATCATCCTCTTCACCTTCATTCTGATTCACTTCATCTACTGTAGTCTTGTTGTTTTTTGGCTTATGATTGTCAATTTTGCATCCAATTAAACCAACACAGTCACCTATGCGAAACTCCTGTCGATATCCCAACTCTTGGTAAAAGCGATCAATAGAAACGTTGGCGTATCGATTTTCAACAATCAAATGCTCTAAAAAACGACCTTTTGGATCATCGGGGAAGAGGGGGATGTTATAAACCGCCAAACCCGACTTTGAATTTGCAGCTGTATCTGCATTGGAACTTGCATCATGATTCGAGGCTGAATTATTGTTGTCACCAAATATATGCCCAATTGACCAATTAGGCAAACGATTAATAAATTTACTCATGGCAAATTCATCCGATCCAGGGATGATTAGTCTTTTAATAGGCCAACAATCACCATTGCTGCTGCTACCACCACCACAAATAGATTCAATTATCCTCAACCACCAAGTCAATAACACTTGTCCATTACTCAAATGTTTATACTCGTTTCTAGATGAGTTGGGAAACATGTATTGTGGTGCGGTTTTGGTGAATAAACAAATACGTGAGTTGATTGTGGTAGGTAGGTTACGAAATTGTTGACTAGATTTGATATTACTATCGGTGGTGGTATGCTTGGCATGGGTGCCATAGTATGGTAGAGTAGTGATATAATTTGAATCAGTGGATAGTTTCCTCTGTAATTTATCAATTAGTGCCAAAGTTTCATTCATGTATGTACCAGCCTCCTCGTCTTCCTTTTGTTCCTCGTTCTCCTTTTGCTCATGCAGAATGATCCCCCGCTTCATCTTGATTCTATACTCATTCACATCATAGTCAACAATATATCGCAACACCAGTTCAACAACATCACCAACTCGATAAGCCAACTTTTTCAAACCAGTAGTATCACACTTGGCAATGAATATAAATTGATCTACGTAATTAGGATATATTTGCAAATACACATACACTTCAATTCCTAAAACAATCACATCATCATGATCAATTAATGTGAAGAGATGACGTATTTTGACAGTATCGGGTCGTGGCGAGGTGGTGGTGGTGGTGGTGGTGGTGGTGGTGGTGGATGATTTAGCAATGTTTATTGGTGATTTGATGTATATTGGTCGTGATTGGATATAGAAGTATTTGAAAGATTCATTTTGCGGTAGATGTTGAGCCAACAATGAGTCTAGAGACATTTGTATATATCCCCTTTAGTTTGCTTCAGATATATAGTTTGGTTTTGATATATATTTTTTTTTTCATTTCCATACGCGTTAAACTTTTTACTTAGTGTCGTGTTGCCTAAGTTTTCACATTTATGTTTCGCGTCAATTCCCGCACGACACAACAAAACGTTACCGGAGTTTACACAATAGAGCATGGACAATAGAATGCTGATACAGACGGAGATATGTCCTTTGATCTTCTTTGTAGAACTCACAAAATTAGGGTGTTTTGATATTTGGCAAACAAAGTTGGTCTGTCCCAATTGCTTCATCTTTGCAAAAGTTTAGTTGTAAGTGGTAAGTTGTAAGTTGATCTATTTCGTGAACCCTTTTGATGACTCTCTTTTTTGTTACTGTCTTTGTTTTTAGCCATTGAGAGAAGTATTTTGTATTTGGGTTTTGGTGTTTTTTTGGTCGAAAATTGCTGCCCCACTATATTGTACAAAGTTTGGAGGGGTAAAGAAACGGCTGATACAGTTAAAAAGTATATTATCATATATATACATATATTAAAGGCTTTGAATAGGATAGTGCGTAATGTAAACTTTAAAAATTAAAATAAGATATTCTTCCTATTGGAGTATTTTGTTGTTCTAAGTCGATTAAAAGTCCACCTCTACACCCATCTCTTGCATTTTTAGGATTTTCCCTTTTGGTTATGAGTATAGGTGTATGGTTATGAGATTATTATTGGCCAACAAAATTTAAGAAAACAAAGAGATAGAGACAGGGGCTAAAAGAAGGGTGTAAAAGGACACGTATATCCAACAAAACAACTTAAATATATTACTTGATATGGGGTTCTAGAACTAAAGCAGTTAAAAGTATACTTTTAAACTTTCTTTTGCAAAGGGAGAGAATTTGAAGGCTAAAAACGATGAAATTAAACGATTAAACAGAAATTGTTTTAAAGAGAGCAAGAGAATGGAGCTAATTGGTATGTATATATATATATGTGTGTGTGTGTGTATGTGTGTGTGACTTTAGTCGTCTACATACATGCATGCATATGTATATCAACAGTCATCGTCATCAGTCAAAAAATTTTGGCCCCTCTTTTAGTATGGTCGCTAAAGGAGATAAACTTACGCAAACATTCGCCTCCGCCTTCACAAAAGAGGAAAAACACACACAAACAAAGAAAAGAAAAGAAAAGAAAAGAAAAGAAAGGGAAGAAAATTGCGACAGCAAAAGCAGTTGAAATGTTTCTCTTAAATTGTGTTATTATATTACTGAAACTGTATTCTTCACCTTCTCTTGATGACTCACTATGTCATTTATAGCTTTGTATATATCATTTGTCAACAAGATCTATAACTCCGTGTATCGTAGTCATCGAAATAAATATATATATATATATATATATATATATGTTAGGGTTATGAGATTTAAATACCTCACGACCCCTCTCTTTCTTTTGTTTCAGTTTCAGTTTCGTTGTATTCTTTCTTTGTCTCCGCAAAATTTAAAAAATAGAAAATGAAAACTCCGTAAGTATTAACAAAAAAGTTAATACATAATTATAGTATAATATGTCTGTCTCTATCTCCCTACTATTAAATAGTATGTCTCATTCGCTTGTATTGTTTTTAAATAGGAGTTACTTAGCTATTGCTATTGTAATTGAGAGGGGCAATGTTCAAGGTATATATTATTGTATGACGACGAGAAAAGACAAAATATTTAAGGATAATAGTAGTAGTAGTAGTCGTAGTATAAGGAGTTAATGCAAAATAACTTAAATTGTAATAATAATATTAATAATAACAATAGGAGAAGATAATTAAAATGTTAAGAGTCTCCAATTAAGAATAATACTCCGTTGTGCAAAAGTACACTACTTTTTCCTTCATCAGGGAATAAGAAACTTACACAAACACCAATGATGTAATAATTAATATCGGATTTAACCTGTATATAAATCTCCTCTTCTTTAAACCCAACTTTATATGTATGACACACCATATACATACTCTCTATATATATACACTATAATAGTAATTAAGTAAAGTAAGTATAATATATAACAGAATTTTCCCCCAGATATTTCTTCAAACAATTTTATTTCGTATATATCAAATAAGCCAACTAACTAACTAACTAACTAACTATTCAACCAACATTTTTCATCCACAACTTACTTACACATCACACAACACTCACTACAATCACTCTTATTTCACACGATATAATAAATAAGCAGTGGTAAAAGCTATAACTTGACTAACCAAAAAATTTAACTGTGTGTCTTGCTATTCTTTTTTTTTTTGTATTGTATGGTATTGTATTGAGAAGTGTTGTTACGTTTAAAATTTCACAAGCAACAAAAAAAAAAATAATAGAAAGCTATTTGATAGAGATATCACGGTTTTAGTAGCTGAATTTCAAAGTACATACAGGCAAAACGCAGTTGTATCAACAATATTAAACTGGCCATTCAACAAAAAAAGAGCTCGTTACCACAAATATACCACCACAATATACTTGCTTAAAAGAAAGGACTGACAAAAAGAGACAAATTTTGTTACGCTCACGCACAGACTCCCACACATATAACTTTTTTTTACATTATGAATCACCAACCTTCACTACAAGCCAACAATAACTCACCTCTGACAATGATGATGATGATGAACTCAGGTGGTGCTACTCAATTAGATTCCTCATCAGATGCCAATGGATTTGATAACTTTTTGGATATATTTTCTACTGATATGGATTTTGAACAAGCTTATTCGATGTATAATACTTTGCAACAAAAGTCAGCCATTGGGTCGTTTGAAGAATTGAATAAAGTTCAAATGTTGAATTCACAATACACTACCAACTTGCCCACTCCTCCACCTCAGCAACAACAACAACAACAATTTTCTGCGCATAATAGTGTGACTGGTTTACCACAGGATGAATTCGCTGATTCTAGGCAACAAATACTAAATGGAGGACATCAATACATTCAACAAGATTCAGAACAACAACAGCATCAACAACAAAACTCAGAGCAACAACATCAACCTCAACAGCAAGAAGAAAATGACGATTTTGATCATTTCTTTACCAACACTGAATCAAATGCTCTAGAACGGTTTTTGGATAGTTTGGCAAACCCAAAAGCAGCAGCTGATCCATTACAATTTTACCATAATAGCCGATCAGCAAGAAACAACAATAATAGTAATAATAAAAGCAATAATGATGAAGGTAGTGGCAGCATACCTAAGGCTAATAATGATACGGGGTTTGATTTTAACTTTGAGATGCGTACAATGAGTGTACCTTCTTTTAATAAGCAAACCCATAAACAAGTGGAAGAGCCACACCAGCTGGAGCTGCAACAACAACAGCACCAGCAATTACAAAATTATCATCTAAATTCACACCTACATCAACCACAGCCTTTTTATCCAACCGATTCTACCCTCCACCCATCGTCAACATCTCCAAATACAGCCCATTCAAATGTCATGCAAGCACAATTTCAACCACAACCACAGCCACAGTATCAATACCAATATCAGAACCAACAACCACACCAACACCAGCAACAACAGTTGCAAGATCACGTTGCTCTTAAAAATGAGTTAGCTGAAGCTTTCTCAGTACCAGCTAAATCGCCATTCTCATCACCTCCACTTGAAAAACAAGTAGAGGAAGCAAAACAAGCTGAATCCAAAGCATCAAAAAGAGCACAGGCTAAACAAACTAAGCAAACTAAACAAACTAAACAAACTAAACTGACGAAACAGCAAAAGAATGATGTCAAATGTTCCCCTAACAAAGCTGAAATCAATAAACAACAATCATCAGCCACCACGTCGTCAGTATCATCAACAAATTCACAACTAATCACTCCACCAACTTCAGGCGACGAAAGTAAGAAAAGACAAGGCGTTGAAGAAGACGAAGAGGAGGAAGAGGAAGAGGAATACGACTCCGAAGACGACACCTCCACCATTAATACTACTTCTACTTCAAGACTGGATAAACCACTCCTCAAAAAACGTAGACGTTCAACCAACAAACCGCTTTTATCATTGGAACAAAAACGGTTAAACCACTCCCATTCAGAGCAAAAACGTCGTCAATTGTGTAAACAAGCTTACCAACGTTGTCTTGAACAAATTATTGATTTGGAAGCATTTGCCAGATTACCTGAATTGAATGAAGCTGATCGCAAGACTAAAAGAGCCAGGGTTAATAAAGAAGGATTGCCTAATTTATCTAAACATGGAGCATTGATGAGGATTAGCAATGAGATGATGTTGATCAGGCTGTTGAATGAGGGGTTGAGGCAGTTGTTGGAGGGTTAACTACCCTTTGTGTTTTTTGCTTTGGGATGAGGTAAAAGATTCAAAGTTCAATTCATGGAATAATAGAAAATCTTCTTGTTAGTATATATATATATATATATGTTTAAATATTATTTTGGGAAATACAAAGAGTATATTTATTTAGTTATTTTGCGACAATAGCTTGTGGCTTTCACACTTCTACAAGGTCCCTACTACTGATAAAGGCAAATCATATTGCATTTGTTTTAACAATCTCTTGAATTGTGTCAAACAGAAAGAAAACGAACGAAAATAAAAAAATATTTCAACAAAATCTCTTCCTTGGAAATTTCACTTTTAACATACGCGACTCTATCTACAGTTCAGTACAATACGCCACATCTAACGAGAATGCCACCAAACCGTGTCGTAATTGATTTAGACTCAAGTGCAGAGCCAACACCCACACCCACACCCGAACCAACCCAAACGCAAAATCAAGCTACAGCTAAAGCTCAAGCTCAAGCTGATCCACCATCACTCGACACATTAATCATTGGGACTCAAGATCAAATCACAACCTTGTCGAAACATGCACCATTAATCTTGCCCAACCAGCAGCCCGACCAGCCATATGCCAAAACACTACAAAAGTTACGGTGCACGTACAACTACACCTATTTGATCAATTGGTTGTATAATTTCCGTGGATATTTGAAACTACAATCGGAATTTTTCGATGTTGATATTTTTGAGTTGGAGTTGTTGAATTATTTTCCTGCTAGTACTTATGATGGATTGAACTCTTTGTCATCGAATTTTGCACCAGCTTCGAGTTCGGTGTTGTTTATAAATAAGCTTAAATCGAGTTTGGTTCATGTGTTGATGGGAAACAAGAACCATGGTTTGAGTTTTGAACAAGTTGTCAGACGATTTTTCGGGATTAGTACACCCTTAGGCGGTGTTGCTGTTGCTGCTCCCACTAATGATAGTGACGAAGTAATTGAAATTAAAGAGAATGGCGATTACCCACTGCAGGAGCAAGGTGATGTTGATGAGAACGACGACAGTGCTACTGAGTCGTCTAGCCCCGCAGCTGTAAATGAAGAAGATTTACCTCAATTTGATTATTTATTAATTGAAGGCAAGATTGAAGTCCTATACATAGTCATATCCCATATTGCCACCACCTATAGATTCAAAGACTGGATTGATCGAAGTTCATCAAACTCACCTGAGTTTTCCCGCATTGATCCTTTCTTCATTGACGACAACAACACATCTACTTCTGCTAATTCCCAAGGTGTGCAAACACAATGGGTCCTATTATTTGATAATAACCGATTATACAAAAAAACCATCCATTATCCACAGCTATCAATCCCCAAAAAACGTAAACTCGCCCCTGAATTCCCCAACGAATTCTACTCACCGTCAAATTTCGACATTGCCATATCCGACATCAAGTTTGACTTGATTGCTAAAAACATATTTGAATTCAATGCCTACTTGATCAAACTCAAACGCAGCAAAACGACGCCCAAGTCTTTGATCAATAAACTTTCGAAATCGGCCCTTGTTGAATCGTTATTCAACAACGAGATCAAAAAGAGGAAATTCATTGCTAATAAAAAGAAGGAGGTCCAGTTGGCAGGGTTGTTGGCAGTGAGGAAAAGATCTTCGCGGTTGGAAGCTAGGGAACGAGAAAAGATGCAGCAAATGAATCAAACTGGATTAAGTAGTCGTCGTCGCGGTGGTGGTGACGGTGAAGGTGCAAGTGTAGGTGACAGTAATGGAGATCTGAGAATGGATAGTCAGAGACGATTTGAAAGGAGACAACAAAGACAACATCGTCAATAGAAGCTTGTGTGGTGTTACAGTGAACACTTAATTCATGGAGCAAACCAACCTACTATTTAAATGTAGCATCACAAACCTCTCTTCTTGCCTCTCTTTACACCCATCTCTACGCTCATCTCTAGCTAGACTTTAAAAAATAAAAAAATATTTAGAGACACATACATACAACCTATACATGCAAAAAAGTACTGCCTTCTCTCTCTCTCCACACACCTTCTTCTTTACAAATTCATTTCATTCAAAATTTGACCAGCTAAAGTTTTATAATTCCATGTGTTACCCAACAACTTCTTAAATTGAACCCCATATAATCCCACCAAGGGCACCTTAACAATATGAATCTCAAACTTCAAAGGCGATTTAGAGCTACCACCGCCGCCACCGCCACGACGTTGTTGTTGTTGTTGCTGGTACTGTTGCTGACTCGAATTACTAGCGGTACTAGTTGTACGTTGATGACTAGCACGATGCTCAATCTTGGACGAAATCAACATATCGCTTCCTCCTACATATCCACTCAATGAATCAGCCGAATTGTCAAGGTCAAGCGTATCATTACCGAAATCAGCATCAAGTGTATTTGGTCCACTTCCTTCACCATGGCCATCATGGTCAGCAGCGTCTTCTCGATCGGTGTACATTCCTCTTATGGTACGCGCTGTAGCTGGAGTATTGGGTGGCATCTGAACTTGAGAATTATTCTTTTTACGATAGGTGTTGAGAAAAGTATTTCCAATGGAAATTTTCCTCCGATGTCCCGAGCTACCACCACCAATGGTTGATGATCTTTGAGGTTTATTTTGAGCATTTGATGGCGATAATAGCTCTGCTCCTCCTCCTCCTTGAGCGGCTTGAATAGCTTGGGCATTCATAGATGGTTGGCGGCTTGGAGTTCGAGCACCTTCAGAAATAGCTTCCACTTTAGGATCGTCAAAGGAGGAAGATTTCAGAGTTGATGACTTCAGTCTAAATGCATCGCCGTATAACTCATTCTCTTCTTCATTTTCATCGTCGTGGGCATATGCATCCAATATTTGATCTTCAGCGTCATCCTCATGTTGTGGCTGTTGTACTTGCTGTTCCTGTTGTTGCACAGAAGGAGTATGCACGCAAATAAACCCACCCTTCACCTCTTGAAATCTAACTCCTAATCGACTCAACACATTGATGATATTGTATCTTATAACAGGTAAAGGTTTGGTAGAAGTGGTTTGTACACTAAAGAATCCTTTCAAGAATAAAGTCTTGCAGTGCTCAATGGATGGCATTGAACCAGGCTTGGCTTCATTGTACTGCTTGATAATCTCATCCTCGGTGAGTTGAGGTACTTCTTGGACTTGCATATCATCCAACTTAACATCATCAAATAATGCACCAGCTGAACCCTCATCAAATGATATTTCAGTATTGTGTGGGCTTGTCGAATGAGCGAGTTCTATATTGGCATTATTTTGAGTAGCTGTATTACTTCTGCCACGACCATATGCATCTTTCCTAATTTGACCACCAACCGATTTAGCTCTTGCGGTAGGGTGCAATTTACGTGAGGGAACCGCCAATGTCTGTTGCTGCTTCGTTGTTGTATTTTGAGTAACAGTATTGGTGTGCGGGTCATAGTTTGGCAATGGTGGTAAATACTCCACTGGAATAAATCCATGGGGCCTATTGGGTGTAGAAGTCGATGCTGAATGTACATGCATGGCCGTATCTTGTCTTTTTTCCTTTCTCTCGGGCTTTGTTGGGGATAATCTTGATCCAGATTCCTTCTCTTTGGCTGTGACCTTCATACTAACACCACGACGTACCAACGGATCGAGCGTGCTCTGCGAAGAATGGGGCAGATTCCTTGCCGAATCAAATTCATTGCCAGGCTGCGATACTATCTTTGGTGAGCCTGATCCTCTAGATTTCTTACTTGAAAGCTTCCTAAACAAGTTATTAAAACCGGCTCCACTCGTGGAGCCTCCACTGGCTCTGTTAGGATCCAAGGAGTCAATAGGAGTGGTGCTTCTTGGGCTTCTTGGGTGTTGCTGCTCGGGTATAGCAAGCTCGTCATTCTTATTAGATGCAAGCGGTGGATTATCAAAGTTAGAAGGAATCACAGAAGTGTGTGCTTGTTCGGGAACTGAAATAACAGGAGGTGGAGCAACTGGTGGGGCCACACTTGGCGATTGCTCACGCTTTGGATCCAAAGTTTTCGATGGCGACCCGGAAAACGTCTCAACAATCCTTGGTTGCGGAGTATTTGGTGTATCCTTAGATGTATTATACTCACCAACAATAGGAACCTGTGTAGCAGTCTCGTGGGCATATTGAGGTGTCCTAGCGGGTGAGATCATTCCGCCTGACGTATTAGCTTGGGGTTGAGGTGTGTAATCCTCCTTTGGCGTTGGTAAGGATGTATAAGCTTGTTGGTTTTGTTGTTGCTGTTGTAAGAGCTTTTGCTGCTGTTGTATTTGATTTTGGTATTGTTGTTGCAATTGTTGTTGTTTGTATTGCTCTTGTTGTGCAACCTGAGCTTTGATGGCTTCCTCTTTAGCCTTTTTCCTCTTTTTCATTTCAACCACTAAGTAGTAAATTGAAATCAATGGATGGAACCCACCAGTGGGATCAGGAAGAATATTAGAATTTTGCGCCGATGCGTATTCCTTACCTTGTCGTGTTACATTGTACCAATTTTCAGTGCTCATTTGGTACTCAACACTAGTGAGCAACGTTGTCAATTCTTCGGTCACACTCTGCACCGATCCTAAATCAAACACAGCAATCTGTTTAATAATCTCCGGGTCCAAAGGCAAACGCAATGGCTCTCTCCGAGGGAGGTAATTTGAGACCTTGTGATCATATCCTTTATTCATCCAGGGGTGCGAACAAATTTCATGTAGTGAGGCCCTTTTTATAGGATCAACCACCAACATTCTTGACAATAAAGTGATACATTCTTTTGAAAGAAAATTTGGGTATTCAACATTACCCTTTTTAATCTTCTCGTGCAAAACCGAAACGGACTGGTCATCAAAGGGCACCTTTCCACACACCAACACATAGAGAACCACACCAAAAGACCAAATATCAACCTCTGGTCCAATATAAGGCTTCGCGCTAAGCAACTCAGGAGCGGCAAAATAAAGCGACCCACAATATGTTTTTAGTAAACTCTTTGGAGAATACAAGTTCGACAATCCAAAGTCAATAATCTTTACATCCCCCTTTTCATTGATCATGATGTTTTCAATCTTGAGATCTCTGTGCACAACGTTATTTCTATGACAATAATCCAACGCCGAAGCTATTCCGCGAGCAAACTTCCTCGCATGTTTCTCTTTCAAAGACCCATGAGCAACGATATAATCCAACATTTGTCCACCTTCGATATACTCAAATAGCATGTAATAATGGTTGGTCATGGGAACCATTTCGTATAGCCTGCATATGAACGGATGAAACAACAACCTACCAAGTGCTCCTTCTCGAATGGTCCGCTTATCCCTTGCCACTTCCTTTTCAAATTCCTTATGTTTCTGTGCTGCCTCTTGCGATGTTAGTGGTGGTGGATCATTAGCATGAGCTCGTTGGTAGAGTTTTGCGGCTCTAGGTATAATTTTAACGGCACAAATTTCGTGAGTTGTATTATGTTGAGCCAATTTCACCTTCCCCATGGATCCAGCTCCAATAGTCTTTACAAAGTTCCAGTCACCGATTGATTTTCTATGAAACTGTTGTTGTTGTTGTTGTTGTTGTTGTTGCTGTTGCTGTTTCTGTTGCTGTTGCTGTGTATGATGGGACTGCAGACGCAGATGTTGATGCTGATGCTGATGCTGCTGCTGCTGCTGCTTCTGTGCTGATAAGGTTTGCGATTGCTGACTCTGATCATATTGTTGCGACAGTGGCTGTCTTTGCAGTTGTGGAGTTTGTTGGCGTTGTTGATATTGCTGAGTCTCATTCCCTGAGTACTGGCTCGGAGTAATTGGACTGCGACCTACTTGTGGCAGTGAAGTTTGCCCCTGAGATGCCTTACTCAGAGCTGGAGATACCAATTCCCTGGGTTTAGGAAGTGGCTTCGAACCTCCTTTAGCTCCCTGTGGATTTGTCGCACCCACCGGAGTAGATGCAGGTGATGGTATTGATAAGGGTGGTAACAACTGTGCATCCAGGCTTCTGTCATTCAGTTTTGTAGCACTCAATTCTGATTGCGTCTTCACATTCCCACTGGTGCTTTTCAACATACGAGGGGTTGCTGGATGTGAAACAAAGGGGGATTTAGATTGATTGCCATCTGGCAACTGGCTCTTGCTTAAATCCCTTTGTACAAAAGGTTGATCGGCTTCCATGGTATCCGATTGTACTGTTGCGTTGAGTTAAAGGCAATCTTTGAATGGAAATAAATAAATCGATATCGATTACACAACCCTCGATTTGTTTTGACTTTGCCTCCTTTTTGGATGATTAAAGATGCTGCGCTGTGAACAATTTTTAAAAATATCGAATAACAAGTACGTTATAATTTCGACTCAAATTCCCGAGTGAATGTAAACACTGGTCTTATCGTTCTCTATCAAAGGAGCAATTGCTTATCCAAAAGCTTTCTGGCTATTATAAAAATTTAGTTAGGAATAAAAATAAAAAAAATGAGAAAAAAATAAATTTAAATAAAAAGAAAAGTACCTTTCAACCCTTTTCTTTTTCCTTTTCCTTTTCCTTTTCCTTTTCCTTTTCCAACGTTTGCTGAATCATTTACGCATGGCTTAGCAAATATAAGATAATTGTAAACGAAAGAAATACTGTACTAGCTGGAGATATTAAATATCCAAGTACTAGTAGTAAGAGATGTACATAAGCAAAGCTCGTTGTTGTCTTTGATAACCAGCAGTAAGCAGTATAGACATCAGAGGTCGTGCAAAATTTACAATTCGTCCAACTCCAACCGAAACAACAAATGACTTAGATAGAGCAACTACAAATGGCCAATTGACCCAATTGTAAGAATATTTATACATTTAATTGTATATAGTAGTTCAGTGAACACCTTTCTGTGAGCATCTATAAACACAGTCTCTTAGTGATGGGCCTTCAAATGTTGGTATTCCAAAGAGTAACCAAAGATAAGGATAACGACAGCCAAGTGAAGCAATGGTTTACCTGAGGCATTGTCGCCATCAAAGTAAGCAGCTCTGTATCTTGCCAATGGGTTAGTTGGCTTTTTAGCAGCTGGTGCTGCACCTTGTGGCAACTTCTTGTAAAAAGAAACAACTTCTTGCATTCTTTTAGCATTTGGGGCTGAACCAAGGTTCTAAAGCAAAGGTTAGTAAGGTGCTCTCGTATAAGCGGGAGAGATGACAGATTTAATATCACTCAATGCGAAGCATCGAGCATTCATAAAGATCCTGGAATTGTCGAATGAAATCGGCAAAGCCAATGACATGTCAACCTGGGAAATGAAAGTGCTTCATCCTACACAACCCCACAAGCTATCCCTATTTGTCGAATGCAATGCCTTGAAAAAATATAGCACTTCTCTGTCTCAGTTTGGTCCAATGCTAGGACCTTCCAAGTCCCTTTCTAGATATTGTCTCCTCTCTTTAAGTCCAACGTAGTGGCACATACCTTGGCCGAAGCGATCTTTGGTGGAATCAATGACGACAATTGTCTTCTAATAACAAATGACATGGTTGGTGGTATTAGTTGTTAAAGTAATGTCGTCTGTCCAAAAGCAAAACCGATATTTTTTTTTCCACTTCTCGTTTCTCTCTCTCTCATACGTTGAATTTCTATTTGATAAAAACTTTTTAAACCAAAATCGAAATTGAAACTGGTGCACGACTATACAATTTTATATGGTCATGGTTAACAAACCTACAATCATCTAGGATCATCTCTTTCATGTATTTGTCGGTTTATGCTATTGATTGAAATTATACATGATTCTATAGTACAGCTTAAAAACACATCTAACAAAAGTCATCACTAGTTAACACCACTTAAAAAAAATCACGACGGAAGACATCACCCCTAGTTCTCTCGTGAGCCACAGCATCTCTTTATGCTCACGAGATTCAAAGCTTCTCCCTCTCTACCACTATCCTATCCTGTCAAAGTGGCTCCATTTTACTCAATTCTCAGTAATGAATAAAACTAGACGAATTTGTTAGTAGAAGACACAACAGATAAATTAGGGTCCTCTCTCGTAGTATAACATACCAGTATTTCCCCTGAGGAACAAGTCTCCGTAGTCTCTAGTCACATTCCCATTGATAAATTCTTTACCGTTCTCTAATACCACATTCATGTAACCATCAATGGTTTGTAAATCACCGCGGTATTCAACCCCGCTGTACAACTTCACTCTCACTGGCGAGCCTATTAGGTCACCTAAAAACTTAGATGGATCTGTTCTATCAAATTCGGAATCTGACATCTGTACGGTTAGAGCTCTATGCTACTGTGAAGGTTTTATATAAAGGTCTGAAATGAAGTCAAAGAAATATTTCGCGAGAAAGAAAAGAATGGTCGTGTATCGAGGTCTAATCTATTCACCCACTATTGAACCTATAACAGTAAACAATCGCACCAATTTTTGCAACAATTGAATCTCTCCTCCTTCCTTTTGATAAAGAGCCTTACTAACTTGACCACTTTCCAATAGGTAGTCCCTTTTCAACACCCCCATAACCAACTCATTGACTGCTTTCATGAACTTTTTTGTTTGCTCCACGCCAGGTTTATAAGTTGGACCCATTGCAAGGAGGACAGTTGTTACCAACTCAAATACAGGAACCACCAACTCATTCAAAGATATTGTGTCTTCATGTTTGGCGTCGGGGCTAACCAAGTCTGATAATGATAATGGCGTATCCAAGAGCACTCTTATGCTGACATTTTTAAAATCCTGCACCTCATGCACATGTAATGTCAATCCCAAGTCAGGGTCAACCTTCAACAAGTTTAAGTTTGCCAAAGTTGCAAATAGTTCATTCTGCACCAACTGTAATGCCCCCTTTTGAGACTGGGCTATTTTGACGAGTAGGTACAAGTTTGCCTTGAATGCCGTAAGTTCAACAAAAAGCTCATTAAATGTCAATTCAGAAGTTTTGGATGTAGACAACTTGATCACCTCGTCAGTTCGTCTTAATGCCCTAATGACTTGTGACAAGAAGCTCTGTTTGACAACTTGTTTCAAAATGATATCTGATTGGCTCAGATCTTCTAACTTCAAGAGCGACTCGATCAAAAAAATTGAATTTATGCGCGATAACCCTTCTGAGTACAATGCATCATTAGTCAAGATTGGTAAAATCTTCTTGTGAATGGAGCTCACCACGTCCATGATTTTCGTGGCAAGCAATTTGTTTTGGGAAGCTTTCAGAATGAATTTGTTCAATATCGCATAGAATTCGGACCGCATATTTGGAGTAACATGAGAACTAATTACTCCAGAAATGCAAGTTTGAAACAATGGCATAAGCTGTTGCACTGCCAAGTCGGTCTGTTTGACATTCTCGAGGCTCAAAAATTTACTCTCATATAGGTCAAATAATGAGACGCAAAGCGACACCAATTCTTCTGAAAACAATATATCAGACTCAAGATAAATCGAAACTTTGGGCAAAAGGGAATTGAACACGTCAATGATAACATCACTTGAGGTAATCTGATCCTGCAACACCAACACTAATTGACACCACGAAGCCAAACATCTCAACTGAACATCGCGTGAATTGTTCATGACAAGATACTTTGTAACGAACTCCTGCATTTTGTTTCCTTCGGTCATTACCTCTTCGTTGTATTGCTGCTTCGACTCGGGTGTTACCATATTTGATCCTTGGCACAATATTCTATAAATCTTCTCCAAAATCGAATAATCCAACGTATAGTTTGGACCTTGTACTTTCTTCAAAATCATCTCAACGTTGAACGAGCGGTTCAAGTAATCATATTTCTCAACCTCAAGATTCCTGAAGTTAAAGTTCAAGACATCAAGAAAATCAATAATTCTCGCTGTCCGGTTGGGGAACTGAGTCTTGGAGAGCAAAAGTTGTGAATAATAGTCCTTCTGTGTGGATGAATGCGCATTGTAAAACTCCAATGATAACAATTTCAACGCCAATTCACGTTGCATGATAAATGCAGTAAACGAGTCAATGCTTGGTAGAGAACTAATGAAGTAATTTTCAGCGCTGACACCAAGATCTCCATCAAACTCATATCCACACCAGCTCGTCATCAAGTCCAACTTGGGCTGGAAGTTGATTAACTTCTCAACCAAATTGTAGTCACGCACCCTATTCATGGAAATTCCCGAAGACACGGGGTTAGAGCAAAGCTTGATCAAGATCTCCAAAATCAATGATGACAACTTTGCTGGTCCAACGTCAATAACATGACGGTTTCCATTAGCAAAATCCAATTCCGAAATTATGTTTAAACTATCGCGCAACGTGGCCAATAGGATGTCTAATAGTGTCGTGTGTTGCGACTCATTCAAGTTCAAAGTATTTGCTTTGATTTCAAACCCCAATAAGAAATGTGCTATGTTAAGAGTCCTCCTTACGGGATCGAGTAAGCTAGCAAGAAGGTCTAAAATCTCGAACTTGATCTCCAATGTATCCTCAATCTCTTCAAACTTATCAATGAATGCAAATTTAATCTTTTCCGATTCATCAATGTTTAAAAAGGTTGTGAGTAAACGGTCACTACTCAACAATGGGTCCGCTTCAGACTTGCTACTTCTAAAATGATTGGCTTTCCCCAATTTACTCAAAATTTTCAAAGCATTGCGTGAAATAGGGTTATCACAATTGACAAATAATGCAATATGGGCAACAGAAGACAAGTTGAACAAGATCACATCATAAAATGTTTTTACACCTGAGAGCGCAAGGATTTTTGATTGATAAATGTTGTCAAAGATGGAAGTTGGCTGGCTCAAGACCTTGTTCATAGATGTACTGATGCTCATAGTCGAGTTTCTATGGACAGGTTGCTGGGGTATGTTTGTCCTCGTCAATACAGGTAGCAAATGGTTGCGGAAATTGTTTTGCATTCCCAACAAAGAATTGAGTACATTTAATGCTAGACTGACCAAATTTTCAATCTCAGCAGAAGCATTTACTGCTTCTACTCCATGGTCAATAACTTTGAACAAGGCGTTGTAAACCTTGTTATTGAAAAAGCATGCAAGGACAGCCAATGAGTGATGCAACTTGACAAACAAGTCGTAATTAATAGGCAATCCAGGGATCAATGAATCGAAAATTGATTCAAACGACCGGAAATCTCTGATAATATTCAATGCAGAATCGCTCAAAAACTCCCAATCGACTTCATGTAAGGCGTCAACGCACAATTGAAGTATTAGCGTCTGCAAAGAATCTCTGTATTCTTCATTTGTTAAATTATGTGACTCACCCAACACATCAACCAAAAGAAACTCAATGTAGGGCCATATACCAATTTTGTTATTTGGCCTATGACCATATCCCAAATCACACGGATAAGCCAAAGTGTACTTCAGAGTGTGATCAAAATTCAATGGTTGCAACAATTTTTTAACAAGGTCGGCAAAATTGAGCACTTGACTATAGTGCGTAAGATTATTCGCAAACACTTCAATTGTTCCAATTGATCTTTTCCTTGTGTACTTCTTTCTCTCCAGCTGCTTGCTAAACAAATCATTCAGTTGGGGTTGGCTTAAATGTAGACCATGGTACATCCAGCGGTCCAACAACCGCCACGATTCGTACCTTATGAAAGAATCCAGATTGTTTTCAGCAAGATTACCCAATAGTTGAAAAATCAAATTCAACAATACAATCCTTGAATCGTCACAAACATGAATATCAGGCAAGTTTATATAACTTGGATTCATAGTCGAGTTATGCGCATTGACATCAACTTGCAAAACCTTCCCACCATTAATTAAGTTGTCAAATTCGAGAAATCCCTTTATAATTGGTAAAAACCGGTTGAAGGCTATATTTTTAATCTGATCTGCTCTCTCTGAACCAGACAAGTTTAGCATGATTGATGAAATCAACCTCACAAAACCAGATATTGAAATAATAGAGTCTTCTGCTAGTTCAATAACTATCCTATCATCGCCATTTTCCTTAAAGTCCCCCACTCTCTTGTTAGAAAACACAAGCTCGTGGCGTTTGTGGTATACGCTCAACTGGTCGTTCAAGTCTTGTTCAAAGTTATTGTTTAGCGATTCGATGTAATAATTTAACGAGTCAAATATGGAGTCGATTGAAATTTTTGAATAATCATTTTTCTTTGCATGGCTATTGTTGTTGATCAAAATATCCCATATCTTGCTAGCAATGCTTGATCCACCAGAAGATAATGACGCCAAAAGAACACTAAAGCTAGCAGCAATCAAAGGCGAGGTATTGTTATTCAACCCCCATGATAAAAAGCCAAGTACTTCATTGGTGTTGGATTCGTCCGTCCAAAATGCCGAGCATAGTTCAGGTCTGTTGTTGTAGGTATAGGCAAAAGCCAAATAAAATCGTTCTAAATCTGCACGTTGAGCAATCTCATCAAGCTCCAGTAACTGTGGCTTCTCTGCGTTTGTGCGCTCTTCGTTATCATCGCTATCATCGCTTACCTCTTCATTTCTATCCAGAAACGACAAAGCAAAGTCTTCTTCGCTGTCACGTAATGAGGTTAATATCAATGCAGCGTCTGCAACAAATGTACTGAAAAAGTGTTGCAACAAAGGAGATATCAATGAGTCGTTGAGCTCTGGGTTTAGGGTTAAGTATGAGATATCAACCAATTTGACGGCATTGACAAACTCTGGTCTCTGTTTAGCCAAATTCAAAAGCTCTGGTGCGCCTTGGTATATGAACTTCTTAGGAGCAAATGGCGGTACAGTTCTTTGGAGTAAAGATCTGAAATCATACGTATCAGATAACTCAAAAGCACGTCGCGTTTCTGGCGTACTCGTTTCAGCACAATAACTTAACAACAACTCCATCACTCCGACTGAAATTAACAGCTCCATGTAAGTGATTATATTCTTTTGGAAATCGTATTTTTTAGTATCGTTGCACTTGCACCAAGGGATAAACTCAGTTAAAAAGATGAATCCAGTAACGATTTCAAATCCATGGAGTTGAGATTGTGCCAAGTCAAATACTTCTCCTTTCTGGTTCACCGGGATTGATTTTGTAATCAGCGTGTACAACTGGTCGACCAATGCAGAGTTATCGCTCACTTTAGCATAAAAATTCAAAACGAATGGGAGGAAATGAAAGACGAAAACGTCATCATTTTGCAACGACTTTATCACCTTGATCACTTTCTCGTAATTTGTCACCGATCCAACCTCATCAAAATAAGACTCACTCAATGCATACAATAATGTACCTAATAGTTCGTGGAATTTGAACAATTGCGATCTCGCAAAATTGATTCCATTAATGAACACCAAGCTCAGCAAGTCTCCTGTTACCTTCTGTTTGTCAATCAAGTCATTTAAAATGTCAATTAATTTATAAACTTTGTTAAAACTCTCAATGGCGTTATCAAATATTTCAGTCGGGCTCAAGGCCAAAATCTTATTCCCTACGAGGTATATCAAAATGTTTAAAATGTATTCACCACGACTAAAATAAGACAATTTTGAACTGTCGCTCAATGATGTACCCTTTTTATAACTAACATCTTCGCTATAAAACAATAACTCCGCTGTGCAGACCTCATCTAAATCGAGCTCTGTAGCTAGCAATACACTCAACTCGGTAAATGCTTCGTTCAATTGCACCTCGTCACCATTGCTGAGTTTAAGTGGGGCATTCAACTTGTTTCGAGATTCAGTCAGTGGTGATGGTGTTTTTAGAACCTGTGTAAGATCATGAGATATTATCGATAAATCAACGGTTGAAATATCAACGTCGGGTTGAAACTTGATTGCATTATAAATCTCTGCAAACAAGTCTGGCGACCATTGATAAGACATTATGGTGTATCTAATTTTGGTATGGGAATCGTGATTGCTTCTGAAAACTTGTTCAAATTTGATGCCAATATTTTTTTTCTTCTTTTTAGGTATCAAACCAAACGCTACCGAAACTCAAAATGTTGCAAACTATAAACAAATTGGATACGAGAGAAAAAATCGCCAAATGAACGAGATTTTATCCTTAGAACATCGACACTGAGGTAACTAATTAGAAGGTTCGAGATGATGGAAAACTTAAACGTGTGTGAAGTTCTGTGAAAATAGAGTTTGGTTGTTGATGTAGTCGAAATGCAATTCCATGCCAAAACCTACATGCATTAATAATAAATATGTATATTTTGCCCAATCTAAATAAAAAAGAAATTAACACAGTATATCAAGCTTACTCCATCTTGACATTACATCCATCATACAAGGACATTGTCAAGTNGAATTGTGGGTGTCTAGTTCCTAGACAGAAATCGTTGAATTGGGTAGCTAAAATTGCCTTGATGTTTTCAGGATCTTTGGTAGCCCAGAGCTTTATGGTGAAAATTCTCATAGAAAACGTAGGAACCTCTGTATTTGTGATCTCAGCATATCTATCAGCCGCAAAGTCAACAAGAGTTCCATTCCTTTTCCTTTCGATCAACCAAAATGGAAGTTTAAATCCGAAAGCTCCATCACTTTCACAGTTTGTTTCTTTAGCTGCACCCAACTTTTTCCTCAAGTATGCCTCGTTAACTTGATTGTATACGGCATAAAGGATAATCAATGCTGGCGCTAAAACATACCACTTGGTGGCGTAGTCGAGTATATTAAAGTCAGACATGATGAGTTTGTTATTATGACTGCTTCAAAAGTTTGTGAAGATGGTGTAATAATTTGTGAGTGATTTGAAGCTTTTTTATATACGATTTGCTTCTCCTCCTCCCTCTTCCTCCTCCGTCGTCATTTGTGTGACAAAAATGAACTCCTGTATATTGTTTTTTTTCCGTTCTTATTTCCGCACCTTACTTTTTGAGAACTAAAATTTGTTTTTAGTGAAGATCAGAATGTCACTCAAAGACGAACTAGAGGGTTTGGAAACGGATAAAAGTGACTTGATAAAGAAGATTTGATGGATGGCAGTTGATAATCAAACTTCCGACTCCTCCATGGTCAACCCATAGGGTGCCAATCAAGATCTGTGGAGCTGAGAAAAAGATGTACAATGGGAGTTTTGAGAGGGTGCGGTTTTATAATGATGCATTACGAACAAGAGTAGTGACGTATTCTCTTCCCATAAGTTGTAGCATATCAACTGGAGTTTAGATGATTTGATCTGAACCAGAAGATATCTACGTGGTACTCAAATAGCGCCTTTGTGGCTTACGATCTGTTATCTTGGTTCAAACCCTCAATAAATACATATATTACTCTATCCAAAGCTAAGTAAAAGAAACTAACACAGTATATCAAGCTTACTCCATCTTGACATTACATCCATCATACAAGGACATTGTCAAGTGTGACATCTTAAGTGGTGGGTATGGAGTGCTTGGATCCATCCACAAAGAGCCAAATTGTTGTATCAATCTAGCAGTGACATAACTAGCTTCAGTCAAGGCAAATTGTTGTCCAAGACAGATTCTTGGTCCACCATTGAATGGAACAAAAGCCCAGCCTAGTTTTCTGGTTTCTGGCTCAAACCATCTTTCAGGTCTAAATTCCGAAGCATCTTTGCCGTAATATTCTTCCAGTCTGTGTGTTGCATATACAGTGTAGTTAACAGTTTGTCCCTTAGTAACCAAAATTGGAGACATACCGTCTGGTCCACCACCTCGAGGTAAAGTTGTGTTC